ACGCGCGTTAGCGTGTGTGGCGCAGCACTGGGCAAAAACGTCACGGTTGGGGATGCGGCAATCGGCGTGCCGTCGTCAAGCAAATCGGCAAAGGCAAGCGGCAAGCACACCGCGGAGAAGTCGCCGGTCGGTCGTCGTTTCCGGCATCTCTCGGTTTGTTGGCCCACTTAGGGGGTGGACGCGGCGGGTTTCGGTGTATATCACGGGGGTCACCGCGGCGTGGCGAAGGAAGGTGGCGGGCGGGCGGGGGGGCGGTAAGGAGGAACGGAGGGGTGAGTGGGGGGCGGGGGCGGTGTGGGGGTGTCGTCGTCGTTGTCGTCGGTTGTTGTCGTTGCGGGCCGGCGTTCATTGGCAGAACTCGCAGTTGCACTCGCGGATGTACTTGTAGGAGTACTCCAGGACGGTGCCGTTGGTGCACCGCAGCGGAACGGACCGCTGCTCTGTCACCGTCTCCTGGCAACACTTGCACTCGTGGGCGATGCCGCCCGTATGGTAGTTCAGCCTGTGGGCAAAGCAAAACCGGGGGGGGGGGGTGGGGGGCAGGGGGGGACACGGCTCAGAAGCAGTCGTGGGTCGCCGCCCCGCGCGCAGACAGCGCTTGGCCACAGATGGACCGCAAATGGCCGATCACTTGAAGGAGTCGTGATAGAGATTAGTCCGCACACGGGTAGAAGGTGGAAAGATGGAACAGATGGAGATTAGTCCGCACACACTGGTAGAAGGGAGTGAGATGGAACAGATGGAGATTAGTCCTCACACGGGTAGAAGGGGGTGAGATGGAACAGATGGAGATTAGTCCTCACACGGGTAGAAGGGGGTGAGATGGAACAGATGGAGATTAGTCCACACACGGGTAGAAGGGGGTGAGATGGAACAGATGGAGATTAGTCCTCACACGGGTAGAAGGGGGTGAGATGGAACAGATGGAGATTAGTCCGCACACGCTGGTAGAAGGGAGTGAGATGGAACAGATGGAGATTAGTCCACACACGGGTAGAAGGGAGTGAGATGGAACAGATGGAGATTAGTCCGCACACGCTGGTAGAAGCGAGTGAGATGGAACAGATGGAGATTAGTCCGCACACGCTGGTAGAAGGAAGTGAGATGAAACAGATGGAGATTAGTCCACACACTCTGCTGCTGTGCCGCCTTCGAGCTGACAGAACCAGCGGGTAACACCACCACCATCACCACCACCATCACCACCACCACCACCACACCACCACCACCACCACACCACCACCCGACCATCATCACCACCACCATCACCATCATCACCACCACCACCACCACACCACGACCATCACCACCACCAACACCATCACCACCACACATCACCACCCACACCCATCACCATCACACACCACCATCACCACCATCATCACCATCACCACCACACCATCATCACCACCATCATCATTACCACTACCACCATCACCATCACCACGACCATCACCACCATCATCACCACCACATCACCACCACCACCATCACCATCACCACGACCATCACCACCACCATCACCACGACCATCACACATCACCACCACCATCATCACCACCATCATCATCACCACCATCACCATCATCACCACGACCATCACCAACACCATCATCACCACCACCATCACCACCACCACCATCACCATCACCACGACCATCACCACCACCATCACCACGACCATCACCACATCACACCACCATCATCACCACCATCATCATCACCACCATCACCATCATCACCACGACCATCACCACCACCATCATCACCACCACCATCACCACCACCACCATCACCATCACCACGACCATCACCACCACCATCACCACGACCATCACCACATCACTACCACCATCACCCACCACCATCAACATCATCATCATCATCACCACCATCACCACCATCATCATCATCACCACCATCACCACGACCATCACCACCACCACCATTACCACGACCATCACCACCATCATCACCACCACCATCACCACCACCATCACCACCACATCATCATCATCACCATCATCATCACCATCATCATCACCATCATCATCACCACCATCACCACCATCATCACCATCATCACCACCACCATCATCACCACCACCATCATCACCACCACCATCACCATCACCACCACCACAATCACCATCACCACGACCATCACCACCACCACCACCATCACCACCATCACCACCACCACCCATCAACATCACCACTATCATTGGCTTACCGGGAAAGGGAGAGGCACATTCCGCTGCAGTGGCTCAGGGAGATGTCGTCGGACACGCAGCTATCCACCTGGATCTTCTCCAAGGACGTCAGCACCTCGCACTTGGTGATGGACGCATCCGGGTCTTTCTCACCTGCGCGGCACGAGTAGCAACATCATCATCATCATCAGCAGCAGCAGCAGCAGGATCATCATCATCATCAGCAGCAGCAGCAACATTAGCAGCAGCAGCAGAAGTAGGAGCAGCATCATCGTCAGCAGCAGAATCATCATCATCATCAGCAGCAGCAGCAGGATCATCAGCAGCAGAATCCTCATCATCATCAGCAGCAGAATCATCATCAGCAGCAGCAGCAGAATCATCATCAGCAGCAGAATTATTATCAGCAGCAGAATCATCATCATCAGCAGCAGCATCATCAACAGCAGCAGAATCATCATCATCAGCAGCAGAATCATCATCATCAGCAGCAGAATCATCATCAGCAGCAGAATCAGAATCCGCAGGATCATCATCACACAGCAAAATCAATAGCAGCAGAATCCTCATCATCATCATCATCAGCAGCAGAATCATCATCATCATCAGCAGCATCATCATCCGCGTCATCATCATCGGCCCCGTCTGCCGATTAAATCTCAACGCATCGTTTCTCCCGGAGCAGGAATCCGATGAGCTGCCAGGGGTTAGCGACGTTTGCGACGACAAACGCCGATGGCCAAGAGGGTGAGCAAAGTCACTAAACATATAAACGTATATATATAAAAGAGTGCGTGTGTGTGTGTGTGTCTACATGAGTCTTGCAATCGTAGGGCAAAATATCTCATTTATATTTGTTTTGTGTAGTGTAGTGTATAGTGTAGTGTATAGTGTAGTGTATAGTGTAGTGTGTAGTGTAGTGTATAGTGTAGTGTATATAGTAGTGTACAGTGTAGTGTTCATATATAGTAGTGTATGGTGTAGTGTATATAGTAGTATATAGTGTAGTGTATAGTGTAGTGTATAGTGTAGTGTATATAGTAGTGTGTAGTGTAGTGTGCATATATAGTAGTGTATAGTGTAGTGTATATAGTAGTGTATAGTGTAGTGTATATAGTAGTGTATAGTGTAGTGGGACACCCTGTATGCATGCAAAGTACAAAAACTCACATGACAGAGGACAGCATCCAAAGTCATCGTAGATGGGGTCCGACTGGTAGGAAGACAAAGCCAACAGCACAAATCGCACACAGAACAAACAGTTTGACTTTAGAAGCTAACCACCCCCCCTGCCTTTCCTGCAGAGGTCACAATCGGGTACCCGATACCCGTACCCGGCCGGGTATCGGGTAGGGTACCCGTTTGCGACCCTGGTGCGGCCGGGTACGGGTACGGGTAAGGAATCAAAACCCGTTTGCGACCTCTGCTTTCCTGATGAGGACTGCTTGCATTGCGATCGCAATTTCGTGTTTTGTTTGTTATTTTCTTTGAAGCTATCGACGTGACTTTACTGAAAGACCCCAAGAATGTGAATTCCCGTGGTGAACGAAAGCTCGCCGTCGCCTGATGAAGCTGGTTGTAAATGTCGTGGCTTGGCTCTCCAACACACCGGTGTGCTGTACTAGTATACTACACTATACACTACACTATACACTACACTACAATACACTACCATACACTATACACTACTATACACTACACTATACACTACACTATACATTACACTACTAAACATTATCCATACACTATACACTACTATACACTACACTATACACTACACTACTATACACTACCATACACTATACACTACTATACACTACACTATACACTACACTACTATACACTACCATACACTATACACTACTATACACTACACTATACACTACACTATACACTACACTACTATACACTACCATACACTATACACTACACTACACACTACTACTATACACTCCACTATACACTACACTATACACTACCATGCACTATACACTACACTATACACTACACTATACACTACTATACACTACACTATACACTAGTATTGTACTAGTGACGAATTCGCCACGTTCTGTTGACGTGACAACCCTTACTCGTTGGCCATGTCGGGTCGCGGTGGGTTTTAACGACACATTTATATATTTACGCTAACCCCCAAAACACCTCTTATCATGGACGAAAGCTTCAAGTCGAGATTTTACGCGCGAGGCGTTCCTCCCCGAACGCTAGGCCTCGGCAGGGTAAGGTAAAAGTGTAAAAACAACGAGCCTACCTTTACCCTACCTTTAACCTTACCACAATACAATCACTCTACCCTACCTTTACCCTTTAGCAGGGTAAGTTAAAAGTGTAAAAACAACGAGCCTACATTTACCCTACCTTTTACCTTACCACAATACAATCACTCTACCCTACATTTTACCCTTTAGCAGGTAAGGTAAAAGTGTAAAAAGCAACGAGCCTACATTTACCCTAACTTTTACCTTACCACAATACAATCACTCTACCCTACATTTTACCCTTTAGCAGGTAAGGTAAAAGTGTAAAAAGCAACGAGCCTACATTTACCCTAACTTTTACCTTACCACAATACAATCACTCTACCCTACATTTTACCCTTTAGCAGGTAAGGTAAAAGTGTAAAAAGCAACGAGCCTACATTTACCCTAACTTTTACCTTACCACAATACAATCACTCTACCCTACATTTTACCCTTTAGCAGGTAAGGTAAAAGTGTAAAAAGCAACGAGCCTACATTTACCCTACTATTTACCTTACCACAATACAATCACTCTACCCTACATTTTACCCTTTAGCAGGTAAGGTAAAAGTGTAAAAAGCAACGAGCCTACATTTACCCTAACTTTTACCTTACCACAATACAATCACTCTACCCTACATTTTACCCTTTAGCAGGTAAGGTAAAAGTGTAAAAACAACGAGCCTAACTTTACCCTAACTTTTACCTTACCACAATACAATCACTCTACCCTACATTTTACCCTTTAGCAGGTAAGGTAAAAGTGTAAAAACAACGAGACTACTTTTTACCCTACCCTTTACCCTTACCCCTTGGCATGTCGACACCTTTACCTTTACCCGGTAAAAATGGTACAATTACCATACCTTGCCGAGGCCTACCGAACGTACCTTGCACTTGCTGAAGTCGAATGGCGCGCAGGTGATCATCTTCTCGACGATGGCGGCCGAGCCGCTGACGGCGGTGCAGGAGAAACGAAGGCACATGTCGTTGTTGTCTGTCCACGTGTCGCCGACCTGCGCGCAAACGCCGGCATTCACGGCAGCGGTTGGTTGGTTTGCACGTGCGGAACGCGTCCATTTACCGGAATTCCTCCGTTGATATGCTGTTGATATGCAAATTCCTTTGTCAAGGCGCTCTTCCCCCCCCCCCCTAACCCAGCTTAAAAAATTACGCTGCCAAGCTTGGGCGGTGTTCATTCAGCGCTGTCTTTCCGACAGACCTGTTCTTCACCTGAGGACGGGCTGCTTGCGTTGTGGCCGAAACGTCGTGAGAATTGTATTATTTTATTATGTTTTATTTTTATTATTTTATTATTTCCCTTCTACGTGACTTTACCGAAAGAACCAAGAAGATGAATCCCTGCAGTCACGAAAGCTTTAAATCGTGCGTACTCATGCGCGTAAGGCGACCGTGGCTGAGCCAGTGCAGGACAACAAAATAATACATGACAACAACAGCAACAAGCAGCAGTTCTCAATGTAGTATAGTGGTGTGGGAAATAGTGTGTAGTAGTGTAGTGTTTAATAGTGTAGTGTATAGTAGTGTACTGTAGTGTAGTGTATAGTAGAGTCGTGTAATAGTGTAGTGTATAGTGTAGTGTATAGTAGCGTAGCGTTTAATAGTTTAGTGTATAATGGTGTATAGTAGTGTAGTGTATAGTAGTGCAATGTATAGCAGTGCAGTGTACAGTAGTGTAGTTTATAGTGTATAGTAGTGTAGTGTATAGTAGTGCAGTGTACAGTAGTGTAGTGTATACTATAGTGTATAGTAGTGTAGTATATACTATAGTGTATAGCAGTGTATAGTGTAGTGTATAGTGTAGTGTATACTATAGTGTATAGTAGTGTATAGTGTAGTGTATACTGTAGTGTATAGTAATGTATAGTGTAGTGTATATTGTCGTGTATACTATAGTGTATAGTAGTGTATAGTGTAGTGTATAGTGTAGTGTATACTATAGTGTATAGTGTAGTGTATAGTGTAGTGTATAGTGTAGTGTATACTATAGTGTATAGTGTAGTGTATAGTGTAGTGTATAGTAGTGTATAGTGTAGTGTATAATAGGTTGTGTGTACGTTGAACTTCTTTAGCACCACTGTACGTAGCCAAATGCGCTTAAACTCGTTTTGCTTATTGCTGCCAGGTGCTAAGGACACTATTGACCTATGTCGCTCTTTTCTCGAAGCGATCATGATGATAATAGGTTTTTTACCCTTTTATCTGGAAACAAAACTGACACCCGTTTACAAGGGATCATGTTTGCATTAACCACAATACCTGCGGTCATCTGATGACGCCAAAAGGCGTCATCTGGGTCGAACACCATATGAGACTGGGCTCTAAAAAAACAGAAGCTGTCTCGGGTGTGGACCAATCAATTTCAAAGACAATGCATACATTATCAGAGTGCTGTTTTTTTCTTGTTTGCATTTTGACCGCAGGTATTGTGGTTAATGCAAACATGAACCCTTGTAAAAAGGTGTCAGTTTTGTTGCCACATTAAAGGGTAAAACAACCTATCATCATATTTTGCTACTGGCAAAGGAGGTCTCATGATGAGGCTTGTCAGCATCATTATCATGACGTGGACATTCACGGCAGTCGAATACTCTCAAATGCGCAGTGATGCTGATTCTAAATGTGGAGACAAATCCACGCCACCACAGGGAGAGCGAGAGAGACACAAACTCCAAATATACAGCAGTTGGGTCGGGATCGAACCCACAGCCTGCGGCTCAGGGCGGTCGCCACCGCCTCGCCGCTGGTCAGCGAGGCATCGCGTGATGGGCGTCGCGAGCTCACCTGATAGACGGAGCCGCTGTGTCTGCAGGCAGCTGAAAGAGAAAAGCAGCACAGAGCTCGGTCAAAACCCGCGGTACGGAAAGACGGCGCTTCTCTTCCGTGACCCACTCCCATGACCTTTCCCGTGACCCTAGCCCATGAACCTTTCTTGTGACTCTCGCCCGTGACCAGCTCCCGTGACTCTTGTTGTGTATGTTGGGTGGGTATAAATACAACAATCTCTCCCGTGACCTTTCCCGTGACCCTGTCCCGTGACCCTGTCCCATGAACCTCTCCCATGACCCTAGCCCATGAACCTCTCCCATGAACCTCTCCTGTGACTCTCTCCCGTGACCAGCTCCCGTAACTCTTGTTGTGTATGTGGGGTGGGCATAAGTACAAAAATCTCTCCCCGTGACCCTGTCCCGTGACCCTGTACCGTGACACTGTCCTACGACCTCTCCCATGACCTTTTCTATGACCCTCTGCTGTGACTCTCTCTCGTGCGTGATCCGATGCAATGACCTCTCCCGTGACCCTATCCCGTGACCTACTCCCATGACCTCTTCCGTGACCTCTCCCGTGACCTCTCCCGTGACCTCTCCCGTGACCTCACCCACGACCTCTCCCCTGAATCTCTTCCATGACCTCTCCCGTGACCTCTTTCGCGACCTCTCCTGTGACACTCTCCCATGACCTCTCCCGTGACCTCTCCCGTGACCTCTCCCCTGAATCTCTCCCGTGACCTCTCCCCAGAATCTCTCCCGTGACCCTCTCCCGTGACCCCCTCCCGTGAACTCCCTGCCCGTGACCCCTCACGGCCTCGCTCCTCACCGCACTCCACGCGGGGGCAGCATGTGGTGGTAATGATGTCCTCCGTGATGGGGGTGGGCGCTGGGACCAGGTTGACCCCGATGGGGCAGGTGATAGTGGGCAGCTTGCAGGGCAGCGCCGTGCGCTCCACGTTGCCTCCCTCCAGGCACTCGCACTGTTCGCAGCCCTCCTTCCATTGGTCCCCGACCTGCGCCGAGTCAACCAATCGTCAGCCAAGCCGTCCAGTCGGTCGCTCGGCCAGTCAGCCAATCGTAAGCCAGCGAGCCAGCCGGTCGCTCGGCCAGTCAGCCAATCGTAAGCCAGTCGGCCGATCGGTCGCCCGGCCAGTCAGCCAATCGTAAGCCAGCGAGCCGGTCGGTTGGTCAGCCAGTCAGCCAATGGTAAGCCAGCGAGCCGGCCGGTCGCTCGGCCAGTCAGCCAATCGTAAGCCAGGTGGCCGGCCAGTCACTCGGCCAGTCAGCCAATCGTAAGCCAGCCGGCCGATCGTTCGCTCGGCCAGTCATCCAATCGTAAGCCAGCCGGCCGGCCGGTCGCTCGGCCAGTCAGCCAATTGTCAGCCGGCGGACCAGTCTGTTGCTGCGGCCAGTCAGCCAATCTTCAGCCGGCAGGCCGACCAGTTGCTCGGCCAGTCAACCAATCGTCAGCGGGCGGACCAGTCTGTTGCTGGGTCTAGTCAGCCAATCTTCAGCTGGCAGGCCGACCAGTTGCTCGGCCAGTCAACCAATCGTCAGCCGGCGGACCAGTCTGTTGCTGGGGCCAGTCAACCAATTGTCAGCCGGCAGGCCGACCAATTGCTCGGCCAGTCAACCAATCGTCAGCCGGCGGACCAGTCTGTTGCTGGGGCCAGTCAACCAATTGTCAGCCGGCAGGCCGGCCAGTCGCTCGGCCAGTCAGCCAATCGTCAGCCGGCGGACCAGTCTGTTGCTGGGGCCAGTCAGCCAATCTTCAGCCGGCAGGCCGACCAGTCGCTCGGCCAGTCAGCCAATTGTCATCCGGCGGACCAGTCTGTTGCTGGGGCCAGTCAGCCAATCGTCAGCCGGCAGGCCGACCAGTCGCTCGGCCAGTCAGCCAATTGTCATCCGGCGGACCAGTCTGTTGCTGGGGCCAGTCAACCAATTGTCATCCGGCGGACCAGTCTGTTGCTGGGGCCAGTCAACCAATCGTCAGCCGGCGGACCAGTCTGTTGCTGGGGCCAGTCAGCCAAACGTCAGCCGGCAGGCCGGCCGGTCAATGTATGCATAGTCAGGTGCGAGGATTTAGCCTCGTCATTCGTGACGAGCGATATGCGTTTCCGGAGGTGCTCGCGGATTGGCGAAACGTCGCGGGCAGTGGCACTGCCCCACTTTCGAAAAACCGATAATCAGATATTGATTCGGAGGGAAGGCCGAAGACGTACACGCCAACGTTCATAGGAAAGGTTTAAGTAGAGGGGGGGGGGGGCATGGCGAGTATTAGTGGCGATGGTACGAAGAGGTACTCACGTATTTCGGTTCACCGCTGTCTGACCAACACTCTGTGAAAAAACACGCACAGAGCGCAGAGGTCACAACCAGGATCTCACGTGGCACATGGGTGAGTGTATGGATGTGTGCGTGTGTCCATAGTTGTGTGTATGTATGTTGAATTTCTTTTGCGCACTAGGTAGCCAACCGTGCTAATTGGAGGTGCGGGTGGAAGGACAAATGTGCTTGTGTGTGTGTATGCATTCGTGCGTGTGCGTATGTGTTTGTGGTAGCGGTTAGCGCTATGCTTGCGATATGAACACGGCAACCCGAGTTTGATTCCCGCTCACGGCTAACACCAGCGACAGCGATTATCTGAACTGGTCCTGGGCCTCCCCTAGGTATGTAGTAAACATCGCCACTGGGGAGACAAAGGCGACCAGGCGTGGTGCTGGCCACCGACCCTCTCGTGTGCCAGTGTCGGCCTGCATAGGTGCCCGCGACTAACAGCACACTTGCCCCGATAGTCTCAGGCCACAGGCTACACGGGCTACACCTTTGCTGCGTGCCCGCGTTACCTGGACACGTGGTCACGCAGGTGGAGGATCCGGCCTGCAGCAGCTGCTGTCCGTCCCCGCAGTAGCAGCCCTCTCCCTTCCACAGGTTCGATGCATCGATTCTGAACGGACGGAGGAGACAGCCGCGTCAAGAGCGCGCCGGCATACGACGGCAGCGCCGCCCGTGCAAGGCACAGGATCGCACTTTGAGGCCGCCGCGTGAAAGTGCCGAAAGGCTCGCGGCAGGAGGTCACCCACCCCCTCGTGTGCCGTTCCGGCCTTCATAGGTGCTCACTAACAGCACTTGCCTAGGTAGGGTGGGTTGACCGAGATGACAAAAATAAAGATCCCCCGTATAGCCTTAACAGACTGTAGGGGCAAGTGCTGTTAGCGAGCACCTATGAAGGCCGGAACGGCACACGAGGGGGTGGGTGGCCAGCACCACGCCCGACCGCCTTTGTCTCCCTAGCGGCGATGTTTACACACCGCACCAGGTACTGTTTTTTGAGGCTGAATCGACCTAGGGGAGGCCCGGGACCGGGAATCGAACCCGGGTCGCCAGGTTCGTAGTGCAGCGTGCTAACCGCTACATTACTACAGCTCCCCACACACACACACACACAGACGCCGGATGCCAACATCAATGCCCCACCATTTGCCACAAAAGTGACGGTGACGTCACCACGGCGCCCGTGCCAGGCACAGGTGCCACGGGTTGACCGACTGAGATGACTGGCCGATGCACCACCTGTGCCAGGCTAGGTGCAGGAGGAGGTCACGGGACAGACCCAGGTGGTGCCACGGGGTCGACCGACTGAGATGAATGGCCGATTCACCACCTGTGCCATGGGTTGTCTGGCTGAGATGAATGGAAGATGCACCAGCTGTATCCCCTACTTTGCCAAATTGCTGCATTTTAGCCACCCGGCGCTCCGCTCGTTATTGTGAGCGTCGCTCCTCTGCCCTCCGTTGTTGCTGGAGGTCGACTGCCTCCAACTGCCCAGTATCAGCAACAGCGTCCTTCACGAGCCTCCTCCTCCATAGAGGCTGATCTTGACACCGCTGGTACCGGTCATCGGCAAGTCTACTCAGCTCCACGTCCTCTCGTACCGCATCAGCTCTATCTCCTCTCCAGCCCGTGTCGTGCCCGTTTAGCCCCCCTCTATGTGGCCAAACTCGAAGCCACTTTTGGCATGCGGCGGCTGGGCATGCGGGCTGCGTGACCCAGCCAACGCAGACATACACGGACACACACACAGACACTCACTCGCCCACATGGAGACTTCCTTACCTGTCCAGGCCACACACAGGTGTAGCCTTTGTCTCGCAGTACTTGTACACCATGTTCCCAGGGCATGTAAACGCTGCACACACACAAAGACAAAGACAAAGATCCCCCATATAACCTTAACAGACTGTTCGGGCAAGTGCTACTCGTTGATAGGTGCTACTCGTTAGCGAGTAGCACCTATGAAGGCCGGCACGGCACACGAGGGGGTGGGTGGCCAGCATCACGCCCGGCCGACTTTGTCTCCCTAATGACGATGTTTGTACACACCGCACCAGGTACTCATTTGAGACTGTGTCGACCTAGGGAAGGCCCAAGACCAATTCAGATAATCGTCACCGGTATTGGTCATGAGCAGGAATCGAACTCAGGTCGCCAGGTTCATAGCGCAGTGCGCTAACCGCTACACTACACACACAATAACAACAACAACAATCGTCATTCGCCATGAAGTGGTGGTGATATTACCGCGACGCCTGTGCCAGACTAGGTGCACCTTGAGGCTACGTGAAGTGTTGAACGCCCGCTGGCAGGAGGTCACGGGGCAGACCCAGCAGGTGCCACGGGTGACTGACTGAGATGACTACTGGCCGATGCACCACCTGTGTCCCCCACTGTGCCAGGCTAGGTGCAGGAGGAGGTCACGGGGCAGACCCAGCAGGTGCCACGGGTCGACTGACTGAGATGACTACTGGCCGATGCACCACCTGTGCCCCCCTACTATGCCAACTACACACACACGTGCACACACACACACAGTCTCGGCACAACCCTTGAGCGCTGATACCACCGCTGCCAGCCACAAGCGTCTCCACGAGATGGGGGCTGCTCTCGAAGGGTATTTGGCCTACTCTTCCACGCTGGCCAGTACATCTCTGGAAGAGGTGAGAGTTCCCACATTTTACACCCCACCACGGCTGATCGACTCTGGTGTACCCATTAATGCGTGCGAGGTCGGCGGAGGCTCTGCATCGGATGCGTCACACTCGACGCTTCGGATCAAAGGGGTCACACTCCACCCTTCACACGGAAGGCATCACACTCCACACTTCGTACCAGAGGTCGCAACCGGGTACTCGATACCCGTACCCTACCCAATACCCGGCCGGGTACGGGTAGCCGGGTATTGGGTAGGGTTCGGGTATGGGTACCCGATTGCGACCCTGGTGCGGCCGGGTACGGGTACGGGTAAGGAATCAAAACCCGTTTGCGACCTCTGCTTCGTACTCCACGCTTCACACGGGACGCGTCAACGCTCCACGCTGCATGCCGGCGGACGCGTTGCACCGGGAGACGTCGCGACGGCCTGCGCGGCGAACTCACGGCACTTGTCGGGGACGAGCGGGCGCCAGTTGACGCACACTCCGGCGCGGCCGCACTCGGCCGCGGCGAGCTGGGCCCCGGCGCAGTCCAGGGCCTCTGTGCGTGGCTTGCAGTGGTCGCTCTTGCAGCCCTCCAAGTAGCCCGACAGGTCTACCACAGCGGAGCATGACTGGAACGTCCTGCGGTCACCGGGGGGGGGGGGGGGGGGGGAGATCCGTAGTCAGAGACCCGTAGACTCAGAGACACATAGACTCACAGACCCGTAGACTCACAGACCCATAGACTCACAGACCCGTAGACTCAGAGACACGTAGACTCAGAGACCCGAAGACTCACAGACCCGTAGACTCACAGACCGACAGACCCACAGACCCACAGACCCACAGACCCGTAGACTCACAGAGCCACAGACCCACAGACCCATAGACTCACAGAACCACAGACCCACAGACCCATAGACTCACAGACCCATACACCCACAGACCCGTAGACCCACAGACCCACATCCCCGCGGCCCCGCACGCGAACGAGACCGACGAGCAACTCACTGCAGGATGAGCGCGTTGCACTCGTCGGCTCCGGCGCACGTCGTTGCCTGCGTGGCGCCGCCGGCGCAGCTCAGCTTTGCGGGCAGCAGCACGCGCATGCATTGCGGCTTGTCCGGGTCGTCCGTCATCCAGTCGCCCGCCACCACGGCGCAGCACTCGGCCGCCCGCGGAATTTCGTCGCGGCCCATGCAGTCGTCCTTGCGCATGTTGTTGCACGTGCCTGCGGCCGCGGTGGCGACGGTGGCAGACAGGGGTGGGGGTTGGGAGGTATAAGGGAGGTTTGAAGCTTTCGTGACTGCAAGGATTCATATATTCTTAGGTTTTTTCGGTAAAGTCACGTAGGTAAAAAATAAAAATTAATAAAAGTAAAATAAAATAAAAATCACGACGTTTCGGAGGCAACACAAGCCTCCGTCTTCAGGTGGAACCGTCACAGCACGATAGCTGTATCACTTGCTACAGCTATCGTGCTGTGGCGGTTTAATTTTAATTTTATTTTTATCAATTTAATTTTTTTAACTACGTGACTTTACCGAAAAAACGTAAGAATAGGTATAAGGGAGGTTTACTCGCTGCACTGCCCTCATCATCTCTCTCCCCATTGCCTCTGCTACCCTTCCCGTACCCTGCAGAGATTCCCACACCCTCCGGTGGCTACCCGTGTCTTACGACAACCTCGCCGTGCGCCCCTGGATCTTCCTGTGCCGATTGCATTCCTCCCGGTGTGTTTCTGCGTCTACATCTGTCTCCCCGTGTCTACCCATGCCTCCCCGTGGCTCCCCGTGTCTACCCATGTCTCCCCGTGTCTCCCCGTGTCTCTCCACATCTCCCCATGCCTTCCCGTGTCTCCCCATGCCTCCCCTTGCATTCTCACGCCTCCCCTTGCATTCTCACGCCTCCCCTTGTCTCTCTCTCTCTGCATCTTCCTGCATCTCTCTACGCCTCCCCGTGTCTCCACCGGCGCGTCTCTCATCCCATGTGCGTCTCTCTCTCTCTCTCCCTCTCTGTCCCCCGCGTTTCTCTCCCCACGGGCGGATTTGCCGGTCCCTCTCCGCGTCTCTGCGTCTCGCGTACCGCACTGTCCCTGCGTGTTGTCCCAGAAGATATCTCGTGGCAGGTCGATGAGGAAGCCGAGGCCGTTGAACTGCACGCGGACGCGCAGGTCCTTGATGAAGATGATGTCGTCGGTCTTGACGGTGGACACCTGGAAGCCGCGCTCGTTGAAGGGCGCCTTCTTGGTCTTCCCGTTCAACATGAACTGCCGGGGGAGAGAGAGAGAGACGACGACGAGGGAGATGAGAGAGAGAGGAGACAGAGGGAGGTCACGGTACAGCCACAGCAGCAGGCCGGACGGCTGGGGAGGGTGGCAACTTCCATATCCCGTGGGGGGGGGGGGGGGGGGGGGGGAGGGGGTGCGGATGGCACGCAGTAGGAGGGTGGCCTGCCAAGCCGAGACAAGCCGGCGAGAAGGGGAATAAAAATAAACTGAACTATATATTTTTTCTTGTGACCAGGTCTAAGACCCCCCACCACTGAGCTGCTACTAAGCCGCCATTTTGGCAGAAGCGACACCTGACCACGTGGTGGCCTATCCCCGTCGCCGCCGCCATCGTCGCCCCGGAGGCCACACACCTTGCGCTCGCTGGGATTGCCGCTGGAAGTCATGGTGGCGCGCAGGACGTTGCCCTGGTAGGAGATGACGAGGCCTCGCGTGCACGAGGAGGCCAGCGGCGTCGAGACGCAGTCGAAGTTGTCGGCGACGATGGTGAAGTCGTGGAGCTTCTGCCGCTCCTCCACGAGGATGTACGAACAGTTGCCCGGTGAGGAGAAGCGCGCGCCGTCGAAGGTCTGCATGTGCGTGTCGCCGAAGCCCGTGCAGATGCCTGCGGGAAGCGCGTGTGTGGACGGAGGGGATGGAGGAAGTGAGCGGCGACGCATTGGCGAGTCACGCGACCGAACGAAACAATTTCCTATTTTACCAGCTCAGGGCTCACTGAGCTATGTAGCTCTTTTTGTCGAAGTGAGACTTGCCTATCACAGATCAAGTTCAAGTTCAAGTTTCAACACTATGAGACCTCATTTACCAGTGGCAAAATATAGTAGTAGGTTTTTACCCTTTAAACTGGTACAAAACTGACACCTTTATACAAGGCATCATGTTTGCAATAACCGCAACACAAGCAGTCAAAATGCAAACAAAAAGAAACAACTCTGATGATGATAATGTATGCACTGTCCTTGAAGTTGACTGGTCTTCACCTGAGGACGGCTGCTTGCATTGTGGCCGAAACGTCGTGAGAATTATTTTATTATGTTTTATTATTTTTATTATTGTATTACTTCCCTTCTACGTGACTTTACCGAAAGAACCAAGAAGATGAATCCCTGCAGTCACGAAAGCTTTAAATAGAAAACTATCCTATTTTGTATTTTACCAGGTCCCCTCGTCTCCCCCGACCTCTCTGTCACCCCGTTGACCTCCGCTGACCCCCCCCCCCTTCCCCAGCCCCCCCCTCCCCCAAACTCACAGTCGCACTCCCAGTGGTAGCAGCAGCCGTCGGGGTCGGTGACGCGTCGCGAGGGGCGGCCCGACTCGCAGGCGGGTGGTGTGGGCACTACGCACGGCCGCTTAGTCATTGAGACCTGCGAGCCGTCGCCCATGCACGTCGCCAGCATGCAGTCGTTCTCGTTCCACTGCTCGCCCAGCTGCTCGCCACGAAGGGGGGGGGGGGGGGCGTGGGTGGGTTAGGGGTGGTGTGAGTGGGTTCAAGTTCAAGTTCATTGATTAGGTGTAGCCCTGTGAGCCATTCGGCTCTTGAATCAGGTGCAACCGCAACAAACAAAAAACTAAAACATGAACAAAAAAACTTCTTAAAGTGAATATGTGACTGAGTGCAAACAGAAAATCCAAGAAAAGAGAGCAAAATATTGCAGTAAAAACACCGTGTACACCAACGCTGTGTGCAAAAATCCCAGTGAGATGCAAGTCAAACAAGAACAATAGCGCCTCAGCGGTCGTTTGGGTCCTGTCCCCTTAGCATCTACGTAGTTGCGTGCGTCTGACTGTGCCCCTCGGCTTGCCTTGCGCGGAGGGTTGAGCTGGTGGCAGTTGTTGGGCGGTATCGTCGGCGGAAGAACCGTCGGCACTTGTGGCGCCGTGGTCTGCCCGGCGCCCACGGTTTGGGCACCAGTCGACTGAATTCTGCCTTCGGTGGTCGCGACCGGCGCCGCTGTCGTGCGGACCGGGGCCGCTGTCGTGCGGACCGGCCCGGCCGTTGTCGTAACCGCTGAGGACGTCGCTTCGAGCTCAGCCGCTGTCGTCTGCACAGCCGTCGTGGCGGATGTTGTCTGCCGTTCGGCGACTGTTGTCGTCACCGGGGCAGCGGTCGTTGGGATCGCCGTGACGGCAATTGTCGTTGCCACCGTAGTTTGTCCTGAGGCAGCTGTTGTCTGCACTGGGCCAGCTGTCGTCTGCACTGGGCCGGCTGTTGTCTGGACTGGACCGGCTGTTGTTTCGACTGGTCCTGCTGTCGTCTGCACTGGACCAGCTGTTGTCTGGACTGGACCGACTGTCGTCTGCACTGGGCCGGCTGTTGTCTGGACTGGTCCTGCAGTGGTCTGCACTTGACCGGCTGTTGTCTGCACTGAACCAGCTGTTGTCTGCACTTGACCGGCTGTTGTCTGCACTGGACCGGCTGTTGTCTGCACTTGACCGGCTGTTGTCTGCACTGGACCAGCTGTTGTCTGCACTTGACCGGCTGTTGTCTGCACTGGACCGGCTGTTGTCTGGACTGGACCGGCTGTTGTCTGCACTGGGCCGGATGTTGTCTGCACTGGACCAGCTGTTGTCTGCACTTGACCAGCTGTTGTCTGCACTTGACCGGCTGTTGTCTGCACTGGACCAGCTGTTGTCTGCACTTGACCAGCTGTTGTCTGGACTGGAACGGCTGTTGTCTGCACTTGACCGGCTGTTGTCTGCACTGGACCAGCTGTCGTCTGCACTGGACCAGCTGTCGTCTGCACTGGGCCGGCTGTTGTCTCCACTGGGCCGGCTGTTGTCTGCACTGGACCAGCTGTTGTCTGCACTTGACCGGCTGTTGTCTGCACTGGACCGGCTGTTGTCTGCACTTGACCGACTGTTGTCTGGACTGGTCCTGCTGTTGTCTGCACTGGACCCGCTGTTGTCTCCACTGGGCCTGCTGTTGTTGCTGCTGTTGTAGTGACAGCACCAGCTGTTGTCTGCACTTGACCTGCTGTTGTCTGCACTTGACCGGCTGTTGTCTGTACTGGTCCTGCTGTTGTCTGCACTGGACCGGCTGTCGTCTCCACTGGGCCTGCTGTCGTTGCTGCTGTTGTAGTGATTGCACCAGCTGTTGTCTGCACTTGACCTGCTGTTGTCTGCACTTGACCGGCTGTTGTCTGGACTGGTCCTGCTGTTGTCTGCACTGGACCGGCTGTTGTCGGTACTGGTCCTGCTGTTGTTGCTGCTGTTGTAGTTACTGCACCAGCTGTTGTCTGCACTGGACCAGCTGTTGTCTGCACTGGACCGGCTGTTGTCTGGACTGGTCCTGCTGTTGTCTGCAATGGACCGGCTGTCGTCTCCACTGGGCCTGCTGTTGTTGCTGCTGTTGTAGTGACTGCACCAGCTGTTGTCTGCACTGGACCGGCTGTTGTCTGCACTTGACCGGCTGTTGTCTGGACTGGTCCTGCTGTTGTCTGCACTGGGCCGGCTGTGGTCTCCACTGGGCCTGCTGTTGTTGCTGCTGTTGTAGTGACTGCACCAGCTGTTGTCTGCACTTGCCCGGCTGTTGTCGGGACTGGTCCTGCTGTTGTCTGCACTGGACCGGCTGTCGTCACTACAGGGCCTGCTGTTGTTGCTGCTGTTGTAGTGACTGCACCACCTGTTGTCTGCACTTGACCTGCTGTTGTCTGCACTGGACCGGCTGTTGTCTGCACTTGACCTGCTGTTGTCTGCAATGGACCGGCTGTTGTCGGTACTGGTCCTGCTGTTGTCTGCAATGGACCGGCTGTCGTCTCCACTGGGCCTGCTGTTGTTGCTGCTGTTGTAGTGACTGCACCAGCTGTTGTCTGCACTTGCCCGGCTGTTGTCGGGACTGGTCCTGCTGTTGTCTGCACTGGACCGGCTGTTGTCTCCACTGGGCCTGCTGTTGTTGCTGTTGTTGCTGCTGTTGTAGTGACTGCACCAGCTGTTGTCTGCACTTGACCGGCTGTTGTCGGGACTGGTCCTGTTGTTGTCTGCACTGGGCCGGCTGTGGTCTCCACTGGGCCTGCTGTCGTTGCTGCTGTTGTAGTGACAGCACCAGCTGTTGTCTGCACTGGTCCTGCTGTTGTCTGGACTGGTCCTGCTGTTGTCTGCACTGGACCTGCTGTTGTCTCCACTGGGCCTGCTGTTGTTGCTGCTGTTGTAGTGACTGCACCAGCTGTTGTCTGCACTTGACCGGCTGTTGTCTGCACTTGACCGGCTGTTGTCGGTACTGGTCCTGCTGTTGTCTGCAATGGACCGGCTGTCGTCTCCACTGGGCCTGCTGTTGTTAATGCTGTTGTAGTGACTGCACCAGCTGTTGTCTGCACTGGACCTGCTGTTGTCTGCACTTGACCGGCTGTTGTCGGTACTGGTCCTGCTGTTGTCTGCAATGGACCGGCTGTCGTCTCCACTGGGCCTGCTGTCGTTGCTGCTGTTGTAGTGACTGCACCAGCTGTTGTCTGCACTTGCCCGGCTGTTGTCGGGACTGGTCCTGCTGTTGTCTGCACTGGACCGGCTGTTGTCTCCACTGGGCCTGCTGTTGTTGCTGCTGTTGTAGTGACTGCACCAGCTGTTGTCTGCACTTGCCCGGCTGTTGTCGGGACTGGTCCTGCTGTTGTCTGCAATGGACCGGCTGTCGTCTCCATTGGGCCTGCTGTTGTTGCTGCTGTTGTAGTGACTGCACCAGCTGTTGTCTGCACTTGCCCGGCTGTTGTCGGGACTGGTCCTGCTGTTGTCTGCACTGGACCGGCTGTTGTCTCCACTGGGCCTGCTGTTGTTGCTGTTGTTGCTGCTGTTGTAGTGACTGCACCAGCTGTTGTCTGCACTTGACCGGCTGTTGTCGGGACTGGTCCTGTTGTTGTCTGCACTGGGCCGGCTGTGGTCTCCACTGGGCCTGCTGTTGTTGCTGCTGTTGTAGTGACAGCACCAGCTGTTGTCTGCACTGGTCCTGCTGTTGTCTGGACTGGTCCTGCTGTTGTCTGCACTGGACCTGCTGTTGTCTCCACTGGGCCTGCTGTCGTTGCTGCTGTTGTAGTGACAGCACCAGCTGTTGTCTGCACTTGACCGGCTGTTGTCTGTACTGGACCGGCTGTTGTCTGCACTGGACCGGCTGTCGTCTCCACTGGGCCTGCTGTTGTTGCTGCTGTTGTAGTGACTGCACCAGCTGTTGTCTGCACTGGACCGGCTGTCGTCTGCACTGGACCGGCTGTCGTTACCACTGGGCCTGCTGTTGTTGCTGCTGTTGTAGTGACTGCACCAGCTGTTGTCTGCACTTGACCGGCTGTTGTCGGGACTGGTCCTGCTGTTGTCTGCAATGGACCGGCTGTCGTCTCCACTGGGCCTGCTGTTGTTGCTGCTGTTGTAGTTACTGCACCAGCTGTTGTCTGCACTTGACCGGCTGTTGTCTGCACTGGGCCGGCTGTTGTTGGGACTGGTCCTGCTGTTGTCTGCACTGGACCGGCTGTCGTCTCCACTGGGCCTGCTGTTATTGCTGCTGTTGTAGTGACTGCACCAGCTGTTGTCTGCACTTGACCTGCTGTTGTCTGCACTTGACCGGCTGTTGTCTGGACTGGTCCTGCTGTTGTTGGGACTGGTCCTGCTGTTGTCTGCACTGGACTGGCTGTCGTCTCCACTGGGCCTGCTGTTGTTGCTGCTGTTGTAGTGACTGCACCAGCTGTTGTCTGCACTTGACCGGCTGTTGTTGGGACTGGTCCTGCTGTTGTCTGCACTGGACCGGCTGTCGTCTCCACTGGGCCTGCTGTTGTTGCTGCTGTTGTAGTGACTGCACCAGCTGTTGTCTGCACTGGACCGGCTGTTGTTGGGACTGGTCCTGCTGTTGTCTGCACTGGACCGGCTGTCGTCTCCACTGGGCCTGCTGTTGTTGCTGCTGTTGTAGTGACTGCACCAGCTGTTGTCTGCACTTGACCGGCTGTTGTCTGCACTTGACCGGCTGTTGTCGGTACTGGTCCTGCTGTTGTCTGCAATGGACCGGCTGTCGTCTCCACTGGGCCTGCTGTTGTTGCTGCTGTTGTAGTGACTGCACCAGCTGTTGTCTGCCCTGGACCGGCTGTTGTCGGGACTGGTGCTGCTGTTGTCTGCAGTGGACCGGCTGTCGTCTCCACTGGGCCTGCTGTTGTTGCTGCTGTTGTAGTGACTGCACCAGCTGTTGTCTGCACTGGTCCTGCTGTTGTCGGGACTGGACCGGCTGTCGTCTCCACTGGGCCTGCTGTCGTTGCTGCTGTTGTAGTGACAGCACCAGCTGTTGTCTGCCCTGGACCGGCTGTTGTCGGGACTGGTGCTGCTGTTGTCTGCACTGGACCGGCTGTCGTCTCCACTGGGCCTGCTGTCGTTGCTGCTGTTGTAGTGACAGCACCAGCTGTTGTCTGCACTGGTCCTGCTGTTGTCTGCACTGGACCGGCTGTGGTCTCCACTGGGCCTGCTGTTGTTGCTGCTGTTGTAGTGACTGCACCAGCTGTTGTCTGCACTTGCCCGGCTGTTGTCGGGACTGGTCCTGCTGTTGTCTGCAATGGACCGGCTGTCGTCTCCACTGGGCCTGCTGTTGTTGCTGCTGTTGTAGTCACTGCACCAGCTGTTGTCTGCACTTGACCGGCTGTTGTCGGTACTGGTCCTGCTGTTGTCTGCAATGGACCGGCTGTCGTCTCCACTGGGCCTGCTGTTGTTGCTGCTGTTGTAGTCACTGCACCAGCTGTTGTCTGCACTGGTCCTGCTGTCGTCTGCACTGGACCGGCTGTTGTCTGCACTGGACCGGCTGTTGTCGGGACTGGTCCTGCTGTTGTCGGGACTGGTCCTGCTGTTGTCTGCAATGGACCGGCTGTCGGCTCCACTGGGCCTGCTGTTGTTGCTGCTGTTGTAGTGACTGCACCAGCTGTTGTCTGCACTGGTCCTGCTGTCGTCTGCACTGGACCGGCTGTTGTCGGTACTGGTCCTGCTGTTGTCTGCAATGGACCGGCTGTCGTCTCCACTGGGCCTGCTGTTGTTGCTGCTGTTGTAGTGACTGCACCAGCTGTTGTCTGCACTGGACCGGCTGTTGTCTGCACTGGACCGGCTGTTGTCGGGACTGGTCCTGCTGTTGTCTGCAATGGACCGGCTGTCGGCTCCACTGGGCCTGCTGTTGTTGCTGCTGTTGTAGTCACTGCACCAGCTGTCGTCTGCACTTGACCGGCTGTTGTCGGGACTGGTCCTGCTGTTGTCTGCAATGGACCGGCTGTCGTCTCCACTGGGCCTGCTGTTGTTGCTGCTGTTGTAGTAACTGCACCAGCTGTTGTCTGCACTTGCCCGGCTGTTGTCTGCACTGGACCGGCTGTTGTCTGCACTGGACCGGCTGTTGTCGGGACTGGTCCTGCTGTTGTCTGCAATGGACCGGCTGTCGGCTCCACTGGGCCTGCTGTTGTTGCTGCTGTTGTAGTGACAGCACCAGCTGTTGTCTGCACTGGACCGGCTGTTGTCTGCACTGGACCGGCTGTTGTCGGGACTGGTCCTGCTGTTGTCTGCACTGGACCGGCTGTCGTCTCCACTGGGCCTGCTGTTGTTGCTGCTGTTGTAGTGACTGCACCAGCTGTTGTCTGCACTGGACCGGCTGTTGTCTGCACTGGACCGGCTGTTGTCGGGACTGGTCCTGCTGTTGTCTGCACTGGACCGGCTGTCGTCTCCACTGGGCCTGCTGTTGTTACTGCTGTTGTAGTGACTGCACCAGCTGTTGTCTGCACTGGACCGGCTGTTGTCTGCACTGGACCGGCTGTTGTCGGGACTGGTCCTGCTGTTGTCTGCACAGGACCAGCTGTTGTCTGCACTGGACCGGCTGTTGTCGGGACTGGTCCTGCTGTTGTCTGCAATGGACCGGCTGTCGGCTCCACTGGGCCTGCTGTTGTTGCTGCTGTTGTAGTGACTGCACCAGCTGTTGTCTGCACTGGACCGGCTGTTGTCGGGACTGGTCCTGCTGTTGTCTGCAATGGACCCGCTGTCATCTGCACTGGACCGGCTGTCGTCTCAACTGCACCGGCTGTGGTCTGGCCTGGACCGGCTGTGGTCTGCACTGGAACAGCTGTCGTCTGCACTGGACCAGCTGTCGTCTGCACTGGTCCTGCTGTCGTCTGCACTGGACCCGCTGTCGTCTGCACTGGACCGGCTGTCGTCTCAACTGAACCCGCTGTGGTCTGGCCTGGACCGGCTGTGGTCTGCACTGGTGCTGCCGTTGTTGCTGCCGTTGTAGCAAACGCAGCGGTCGTCGTCTGGACGGGACCGGCCGTCGTCTGGATGGGAGCGGCCGTAGTCCGGACGGGCGTTGTCGTCGCCGTCGTCGTGGGCAGCGCCTTGACGGTCGTCCTGACCCCCATCGTGGAGGCCCGCGTCTCCGTTGTGGGGACCTCCGTTGGGAACGTGAAAACCGGGAGGTCTCGCGTGAGTGGCATGGGCACCGGCCCCATGGTCGTGGTCGAGGCGCCGATGGTGTTAAAGGTGGTGGCGACCGTGGTGGTGACCACCCCGGTGACAAAGGCGGTGGTGGTCTGGCATGGGCCTGATGTGGCCGAGATTCCGGAGCAGTCGGGCAGGCACACGGCAACACGGCAGCCGCCCAGCCCGTCCGTTGTGTTGTAGACCACGTCGCCTGTGAGGTGACAAGGAGCGACGCACCGCCGTCTCGTTGGTTGATCACGATCGCGATGATGATGTGGGGATACAGGCTGTCTGGGTGTTTGCTGAGATAACAATGGTGAAGGTGTCATCCCCCCTTCCTTAACCCCCTTCCGTTCCTCTTTCTTGAAGCCTCAATCTCCTCTCCCGTTCTCTTGCCCTTCCCTACCCTCACCAACTCCACTCCTTCCCTTCCCTCCCCTATAGCCCCTTCCATGACCTCCCCCCCCCCCAACGTGCCCTCTGTTACGGTCCTTTGCGCTGGCCCTTGCCATCTGAATCGCTAGATTTTTTTCATTACCGCCTTTTAATGATACAAAGTGACCGGCACTAAGTTGCTCTGTCAAGATGAAATCAGATCTCTGGTGGGGCGCGAATTGGATACATAACGCAATTAATTCATTGGGGAATACTTTTTCTTTATAACCTGGATGCGAATTGGATGCAACGCATTCGAGCAAATGGAACGCATTCGAGCAAATGGAACTGCGGTCGTTAGCGAGCGGGAACAAGTTGGTCGTATGGACTGCTTACGGAATTGGGATGCTGCTGAACTCTCCTATATGCAACTCCATGCGCCTCGGTCTTTGTCCGGCCTGCGTTATTTATCATCTCGCTGGTTATTGCGGACAGCGCTTTACCCCCCAATGTTATACGTTCTTGACTATTACACGGTGTTCTTCAGGAATGCGACTACTACTACGACCACGTAGTTACAGGAGCAACATAGACTGCATGTATATATCTATCTTTCTAACACGACTCGTGGGCCAGGCACGACGAAAAGAGACGGAATGGCGAGCGGGTTTTGTGTGCCCGACGCGTGTTGCGCCCGCCCGCCCCTCTCACCTGAAGCGACGGTGACTCCCTGTGAGATCTCGCACAGGCACGGCCCTAGGAAGGTGAGAACAGAAAGGGAGGCGCAAATCAACACTCGTGTTAAGGAGGGGGGGGGGGGGGGTTCGACTGTGTGCAGACCGTGGCCGCAGGGAATTGAAAACCAAAGGCAAAACGCCCGCGGAGTTGAGCGCTCACCTCACTCGCGTAAATGTGTGTTGTTAGACCCGTCACTACCACCCAACACAGCCAATTGGTGAGGTTCGCCACGTAAACAAAACGTACCAAATTCGTAACTAGTACAGTGCACACCGGTGTATTGGAAAGTAAACCCACTGCAACATTTACAATTATAGTGCAGTGTATAGTAATATACTAGTACAGTGCACCAGTGTGTTGGAGACAAAACCCATTACAATATTTACCATTATTGTGTAGTGTATAGTGTAGTGTATAGTGTATCAAGACGCTGAACCAGTATACTACACTGCACGCTACATTAATTGAAAATGTTGTAGTGGGCTTACTCTCCAACACACTGGCAATGCTGTACTGGTAACGAATTGGCACATTTTGTTTACGTGAGAAACCCTTCCTAATTGGCGGCGGTAGTAGCGGCTTCAACGACAGTTTTTAAGATGATTAATACTGTGCTCTGTTGCCTTAACCGCGTACAATGTTTTGATAACTCGACACTGAACACCAATTCATTTTCGTTATTTGAACAAAGCAAACTTGAGGTTAAAAACAACATCGAGTGAAGGGAAGGGAGAAGGCGGCGGTGGTGGCTTACGACTCATTTACGACGAGCGAGTGAGCTCCCCGCGCACGGCAATACGTTCTCAATATTCGCTGCTTCTCTCTTTCTGTCCCCCCTCATTCTCATCGCGTTCAAGCCATGCTTCGCTTTCTCTCTGGCTCACTCTCTCTTCTTGCCCACCCCATTCACTGGAAGGCACTTCCCCCTCCACACTGAGCGTTCATCTCCACTCACTTAGTTTGCGCTCCGCACTGAACAACTCACACTTATTGTTACCCCCAAGCTCCCCCCACGACCTCCCCCCCCCCCCCGAATTTCCTCCGTCATAACCACCACCTCCGGTACTGTTTCTACTTCATATTCTCATTGGATGACTTTTGGTCATTCCCCATTCATCATCATCATTGTCACCAATTTCGCTTTCGCTGGATTCCTACATCAACACAGATTCCCCCCCCACCCCCCACCCCGTTGGTTTCTCCCGTCTATGTCGCTCACCCTATCTCCACCATTGCATTCATACGCTGTGCTATTGTTCATTCTGTGTAAGGCGCCGATATACATTTGATTTAAGATAAGGTAAGATACGACACACAACATGGGGGGGATATAATGGGAGGGTCGAGTCACGCGGGAGAAACCACTCGCGACAGATCCCCCCCAGGGGGACGATGGTGGCCGATGGCCGACAGCGAATTTGTAACCGAATCCAGCAGCAGCCGCTCACTTGTAACGACGGCTGTGGTGGCGGCTGTGGTGGCGAGCAGCGTCGTCGGGACCACAGCCACAGTGGTGGCGGCAGTCATCGCAGTGGGAACGGTGGCGACGAGGCCGCAGCACACCCGGACGCGGTAGTTGTAGCACAGCTGCAAGTCGCCGCTCTGGTCGCCGTTGAGGCAGACGAGGCCGCTGCCGCTGTCGCACGACACCACCTGGCCGAGTTGGTCAATGGGAACGCCGGGGAATTTGTCGGCACGGCATTGGATGTTTATCGGTGTCTGCCTGCCGGGGCAGACCTCCAAACCGGTGGCACGGATGGCGGCGTAGCTCTCGTCGTCGCCGTTGTTGTCTAGGCTTGGGTTGGAGACGTCGAACCACTGCGACCAGGCACCCGGGCACACTGCGGATGGATGGACGGGCAGTTAGTCGTTTTGTCGGTTAGTCAGTTAGCCGGTTTGTCGGTGAGTTGGTTTGTTTGGTTTATCCATTAGTCTGTGAGCCGGTTTGTCAGTGTTTTGGTTTGTCGGTTTGTAGGTTAGTCGTTTCGTCAGTTTGTTCATTAGTTGGTTAGTTAGTTTGTTGGTTTGTCAGTTAGTCAGTTTGTCGGTTAGTCAGTTTGTTGGTTTGTCCATTAGTCGGTTAGCCAGTTTGTCGGTTTGTCAGTTAGTCGTTTTTTTGTTAGTCGGTTCGTCGGTTAGTCGGTTCGTCAGTTTGTCGGTTTTTTAGTTAGCCGGTTTGTCGGTTAGTCAGTTTGTTGGTTTATCCATTAGTTGGTTAGCCGGTTTGTCAGTTTGTCAGTTAGTTGGATGGTTGGTCAGTTGGTTTGTCGGTTAGTCAGTTTTTCAGTTTGTCCAATTAGTTGGTTAGCCGGTTTGTCAGTTAGTCTGATTGTTGGCTAGTTGGTTAGTTGGTTTTTAGGTTTGTCAGTTAGTAGGTTTGTTGGTCAGTTGGTTTGTCAGTTAGTTGGTTTGTCCATTAGTCGATTAGCTGGTTTTTCGGTTTGTCGGATTTTCAGTTAGTCGGTTTGTTGGTCAGTCGGTTTGTCGGTTAGTCAGTTTGTCAGTTTGTCCATTAGTTGGTTAGTCGGTTTGTCAGTTAGTCGGTTAGTTGGTTAGTCAATTTGTCGGTGAGATGTTTAGTCACATGCATTATGACAGACAGAGTGAGCGACTACCCCGTGGTGACAACATGAAAGTGCTCGTGGGCTGGCTGGCTCGTAGTAGCTTGGGGTTACACTAAAACTACGATTTTAATTGCTTTATTTTACCAGGTAAGGCTTGCCACTGAGCCATGTAGTGGCTTGTCATCGTCGCCATCGTCATCATCTCCACGTAGAAATTTATAGCAGCAGTCAAATACTCTGAACGCGTTGGGACATCGATTCTAAATGTGGAGAGGAAAAACCGGTGGAGGACCCAGAGAAAAATTCACGTGACCACGGTTAGAGACATGCAAACTCCAAATATACAGCAGGCACTGTCAGGGTCGGGCTCAAACCGACGACCTCCTGTATACCAGGTAAGGTAATCAACATCTCCTAGCCATTGTGGCATTGTAATAGATCGTTAACCAAGATTCATTGTGATCTCTTCCGCTTCACCCAATCCGTAAGAAATGGGCACGCCCGCCGTTCCTCCTTCCATTTTACAATGAATGGATGTCATGGGACAGCCCTTGCCAGTTTCACAAAATAAGAATAGCTTTTACCCTTTCTGGCAAATAAAAGAGCTGTGTTAAGATGTTTAAACACCAAAGATAAACCTTTTGCAAGGAATTATGTCTGAATTGGTACTTGTGGTGAACATGCAACGTATATGTTGTTAATTCTAGATTTGTTAATTAAATTTCGTGACTGCAAGAATCCATACTCTTTGGTTTTATTCAGTAAAGTCACGTAGGTAAAAAAAGAAGAAGTTGTTTTTCATTTTTATTTAAAAATTTTATTTCCTTACCTACGTGACTTTACCAAATAAATCCAAAGAGTATATGTGGTTAATGCAGACATGATTCCTTGCAAAAGGTTTCTGTTTGGTGTTGTCACATCTTAATACACCTGTTTAATTATGTCCAGAAAGGGTAAAACTAATTCTCATATAATGAATGGATGAATGAAAAACAGTGTACCTGAGTGGGGTGGGAAGCCATGAATGTTTGAGGTGGCTGTTTAGCAAGGGGATTGACCAAGGCTTGATGAGGATTATAGCCGAGCCAATCGATGATGAGAGTATTTGTTAAGGAAAGGAAATTGAAAAGATGCATTGTTCTACTTACCCAATAGAGTTGTAGTTTCTTGAATGACGACGGGCGTGGATACAACTGGTTCGGGTGTGGTTACGACTGGTCCTGGTGTGGATCCGACTGATGCGGGTGTGGATCCGATTGGTCCGGGTGTAGTTGTTACTGGTCCTAGTGTGGATCCGACTGGTCCAGGCGTGGTTATGACTGGCCCGGGAGTGGATACGACTGGTCCAGGCGTGGTTGTAACTGGCCCCGGTGTGGTTTCGACTGGTCCCAGTGTGGTTTCGGCTGGTCCAGGCGTGGTTGTGACTGGCCCGGGAGTGGATACGACTGGTGCGGGTGTGGTCGTGACGGGTCCTGGTGTGGTTTCGACTGGTCCTGGTGTGGATCCAACTGGTCCGAGCGTGGTTTCGACTGGTGCCAGTGTGGTTTCCACTGGTCCTGGTGTGGATCCGACTGGTCCGAGCGTGGTTGTGACTGGCCCGGGAGTGGATTCGACTGGTCCGGCTGTAGTTGCCGCGGATTCCTTGGTGGTCACCACCGGAGCAAGTGTTGTTGTTGCGATCTCCTGGCTGCAGCACACTCGGATCTTGTAGTCGTAGCACATGGACATGGATTGCTCCGCGTTGTTGCAGATGAGTCCCACTTGCCCATCACACCTGATCTTCTGTCCCAGATCTTGCCACGCCACGTTGGGGAAGCGCATTGCCTTGCAGTCGATGGCCTCCACTCGGTTGCCCATCGGGCAGATGGCCTGGCCATTCTGCCTGATGTTGTCGAACGTTTCGTAGTCTCCGTTTTGCTGGCTCGTTTGCGGGTAGTCCACGTTGTACCACTCTGACCACGTTCCCATGCAGGGGACCGCTGCGGCCGTGGTTGTGACTGCTGCAGGCGTGGAACTAACTGGTCCTGGTGTGGATCCGACTGGTCCGGGTGAGGATCCGACTGGTGCGGGCGTGGTTACAACTGGACCCGGTGTGGTTTCAACTGATGCGGGTGTGGATCCGGTTGGTCCAGGCGTGGTTGTGACGGGTCCTGGTGTGGTTTCGACTGGTGCTGGTGTGGATCCGACTGGTCCTGGTGTGGATCCGACTTGTGCGGGCGTGGTTACAACTGGACCCGGTGTGGTTTCGACTGATGCCGGTGTGGATCCGACTGGTCCGAGCGTGGTTGTGACTGGTCCCGGTGTGGTTTCAACTAGTCCTGGTGTAGATCCGACTGGTCCGGGCGTGGATCCGACAGGTCCTGGTGTGGATCCAACTGGTCCAGGCGTGGTTTTGACTGGTCCCGGTGTGGATCTGACTGATGCGGGCGTGGATTCTATTGGTCCGGGTGTAGTTGTTACTGGTCCAGGCGTGGTTGCGACTGGTCCCAGTGTGGTTTCCACTGGTCCTGGTGTGGATCCAACTGGTCCGAGCGTGGTTTCGACTGGTCCTGGTGTGGATCCGACTGGTCCGATCGTGGTTGTGACTGGCCCAGGAGTGGATACGACTGGTGCGGGTGTGGTCTTGACGGGTCCTGGTGTGGTTTCGACTGGTCCGGCTGTAGTTGCCGCGGATGCCTTGGTGGTCACCACCGGAGCAAGTGTTGTTGTTGCGATCTCCTGGCCGCAGCACACTCGGATCTTGTAGTCGTAGCACATGGACGTGGATTGCTCCGCGTTGTTGCAGATGAGACCCACTTGCCCATCACACCTGATCTTCTGTCCCAGATCTTGCCACGCCACGTTGGGGAAGCGCATTGCCTTGCAGTCGATGGCCTCCACTCGGTCACCCATCGCGCAGATGGCCTGGCCATTCTGCCTGATGTTGTCGAACGTTTCGTAGTCTCCGTTTTGCTTGCTCGTTTGCGGGTAGTCCACGTTGTACCACTCAGACCACGTTCCCATGCAGGGGACCGCTGCGGCCGTGGTTGTGACTGGCCCAGGTGTGGATGCGACTGGGCCAGGTGTGGATCCGACGGGTGCGGGCGTGGTTACAACTGGACCCGGTGTGGTTTCGACTGATGCCGGTGTGGATCCGATTGGTCCGAGCGTGGTTGTGACGGGTCCTGGTGTGGTTTCGACTGGTCCTGGTGTGGATCCGACTGGTCCAGGCGTGGTTACAACTGGACCCGGTGTGGTTTCGACTGATGCCGGTGTGGATCCGATTGGTCCGGGCGTGGTTGTGACAGGTCCTGGTGTGGTTTCGACTGGTCCTGGTGTGGATCCGACTGGTCCAGGCGTGGTTACAACTGGACCCGGTGTGGTTTCGACTGATGCCGGTGTGGATCCGATTGGTCCGGGCGTGGTTGTGACGGGTCCTGGTGTGGTTTCGACTGGTCCTGGTGTGGATCCGACTGGTCCGGGTGAGGATCCGACTGGTGCGGGCGTGGTTACAACTGGACCCGGTGTGGTTTCGACTGATGCCGGTGTGGATCCGGTAGGTCCGGGCGTGGTTGTGACGGGTCCTGGTGTGGTTTCGACTGGTCCTGGTGTGGATCCGACTGGTCCAGGTGTGGTTACAACTGGACCCGGTGTGGTTTCGACTGATGCCGGTGTGGATCCGACTGGTCCGAGCGTGGTTGTGACTGGTCCCGGTGTGGTTTCAACTGGTCCTGGTGTAGATCCGACTGGTCCGGGCGTGGATCCGACAGGTCCTGGTGTGGATCCAACTGGTCCAGGTGTGGTTTCGACTGGTCCCGGTGTGGATCTGACTGATGCGGGCGTGGATTCTATTGGTCCGGGTGTAGTTGTTACTGGTCCGGGTGTGGTTTCGACTGGTCCAGGCGTGGTTGCGACTGGTCCCAGTGTGGTTTCCACTGGTCCTGGTGTGGATCCGACTGGTCCGAGCGTGGTTTCGACTGGTCCTGGTGTGGATCCGACTGGTCCGAGCGTGGTTGTGACTGGCCCGGGAGTGGATTCGACTGGTCCGGCTGTAGTTGCCGCGGATGCCTTGGTGGTCACCACCGGAGCAAGTGTTGTTGTTGCGATCTCCTGGCTGCAGCACACTCGGATCTTGTAGTCGTAGCACATGGACGTGGATTGCTCCGCGTTGTTGCAGATGAGACCCACTTGCCCATCACACCTGATCTTCTGTCCCAGATCTTGCCACGCCACATTGGGGAAGCGCATTGCCTTGCAGTCGATGGCCTCCACTCGGTCGCCCATCGCGCAGATGGCCTGGCCATTCTGCCTGATGTTGTCGAACGTTTCGTAGTCTCCGTTTTGCTTGCTCGTTTGCGGGTAGTCCACGTTGTACCACTCAGACCACGTTCCCATGCAGGGGACCGCTGCGGCCGTGGTTGTGACTGCTGCAGGCGTGGAACTAACTGGTCCTGGTGTGGATCCGACTGGTCCGGGTGTGGATCCGACTGGTGCGGGCGTGGTTAGAACTGGACCCGGTGTGGTTTCGACTGATGCCGGTGTGGATCCGACTGGTCCGAGCGTGGTTGTGACTGGTCCCGGTGTGGTTTCAACTGGTCCTGGTGTAGATCCGACTGGTCCGGGCGTGGATCCGACTGGTCCTGGTGTGGATCCGACTGGTCCAGGCGTGGTTAGAACTGGACCTGGTGTGGTTTTGACTGATGGCGGTGTGGATCCGACTGGTCCGAGCGTTGTTGTGACTGGTCCCGGTGTGGATCCGACTGTTCCAGGCGTGGATGCGACTGGTCCGGGTGTGGTTATGACTGGTCCCGGTGTGGATCCGACTGATGCGGGTGTAGATCCAATTGGTGCTGGCGTGGTTGTGACGGGTCCTGGTGTGGATCCTACTGGTCCGGGTGTGGAAGCGACTGGTCCGAGCGTGGTTGTGACTGGTCCTGGTGTGGTTTCGACTGGTCCCGGTGTAGATCCGACTGGTCTGGGCGTGGATCCGACTGGTCCCGGTGTGGTTACGACTGGTCCCGGTGTGGATCCGACTGATGCGGGTGTGGATCCGATTGGTGCTGGAGTGGTTGTGACGGGTCCTGGTGTGGTTTCAACTGGTCCTGGTGTAGATCCGACTGGTCCGGGCGTGGATCCGACTGGTCCTGGTGTGGATCCGACTGGTCCAGGCGTGGTTAGAACTGGACCCGGTGTGGTTTTGACTGATGCCGGTGTGGATCCGACTGGTCCGAGCGTGGTTGTGACTGGTCCCGGTGTGGTTTCAACTGGTCCTGGTGTAGATCCGACTGGTCCGGGCGTGGATCCGACTGGTCCTGGTGTGGATCCGACTGGTCCAGGCGTGGTTACAACTGGACCCGGTGTGGTTTCGACTGATGCGGATGTGGATCCGACTGGTTCGGGCGTGGTTGTGACTGGTCCTGGTGTGGTTTCGACTGGTCCTGGTGTGGATCTGACTGATGCGGGTGTGGATCCGATTGGTCCGAGCGTGGTTGTGACTGGCCCAGGTGTAGATCCGACTGGTCCGGGCGTGGATCCGACTGGTCCTGGTGTGGATCCGACTGGTGCAGGCGTGGTTAGAACTGGACCCGGTGTGGTTTCGACTGATGCCGGTGTGGATCCGACTGGTCCGAGCGTGGATCCGACTGGTCCGGGCGTGGATCCGACTGGTCCTGGTGTGGATCCGACTGGTCCAGGCGTGGTTAGAACTGGACCCGGTGTGGTTTCGACTGATGCCGGTGTGGATCCGACTGGTCCGAGCGTTGTTGTGACTGGTCCCGGTGTGGATCCGACTGTTCCAGGCGTGGATGCGACTGGTCCGGGCGTGGAACCGACTGGTCCGGGTGTGGTTATGACTGGGCCCCGTGTGGATCCGACTGATGCGGGTGTGGATCCGATTGGTGCTGGTGTGGTTGTGACGGGTCCTGGGGTGGTTTCGACTGGTCCTGGTGTGGATCCTACTGGTCCGGGTGTGGAAGCGACTGGTCCGGGAGTGGTTTCAACTGGTCCCTGTGTGGATGCGATTGATGCGGGCGTGGAACCGATTGGTCCGGGCGTGGTTGTGACTGGTCCCGGTGTGGATCCGACTGGTCCGAGCGTGGTTGTGACTGGTCCTGATGTAGTTTCAACTGGTCCTGGTGTAGATCCGACTGGTCCCGGTGTGGATCTGACTGATGTGGGCGTGGATCCGATTGGTCCGGGTGTAGTTGTTACTGGTCCGGGTGTGGTTTCGACTGGTCCAGGCGTGGTTGCGACTGGTCCCAGTGTGGTTTCCACTGGTCCTGGTGTGGATCCGACTGGTCCGAGCGTGGTTTCGACTGGTCCCGGTGTGGATCTGACTGATGCGGGCGTGGATTCTATTGGTCCGGGTGTAGTTGTTACTGGTCCAGGCGTGGTTGCGACTGGTCCCAGTGTGGTTTCCACTGGTCCTGGTGTGGATCCAACTGGTCCGAGCGTGGTTTCGACTGGTCCTGGTGTGGATCCGACTGGTCCGATCGTGGTTGTGACTGGCCCAGGAGTGGATACGACTGGTGCGGGTGTGGTCTTGACGGGTCCTGGTGTGGTTTCGACTGGTCCGGCTGTAGTTGCCGCGGATGCCTTGGTGGTCACCACCGGAGCAAGTGTTGTTGTTGCGATCTCCTGGCCGCAGCACACTCGGATCTTGTAGTCGTAGCACATGGACGTGGATTGCTCCGCGTTGTTGCAGATGAGACCCACTTGCCCATCACACCTGATCTTCTGTCCCAGATCTTGCCACGCCACGTTGGGGAAGCGCATTGCCTTGCAGTCGATGGCCTCCACTCGGTCACCCATCGCGCAGATGGCCTGGCCATTCTGCCTGATGTTGTCGAACGTTTCGTAGTCTCCGTTTTGCTTGCTCGTTTGCGGGTAGTCCACGTTGTACCACTCAGACCACGTTCCCATGCAGGGGACCGCTGCGGCCGTGGTTGTGACTGGCCCAGGTGTGGATGCGACTGGGCCAGGTGTGGATCCGACGGGTGCGGGCGTGGTTACAACTGGACCCGGTGTGGTTTCGACTGATGCCGGTGTGGATCCGATTGGTCCGAGCGTGGTTGTGACGGGTCCTGGTGTGGTTTCGACTGGTCCTGGTGTGGATCCGACTGGTCCAGGCGTGGTTACAACTGGACCCGGTGTGGTTTCGACTGATGCCGGTGTGGATCCGATTGGTCCGGGCGTGGTTGTGACAGGTCCTGGTGTGGTTTCGACTGGTCCTGGTGTGGATCCGACTGGTCCAGGCGTGGTTACAACTGGACCCGGTGTGGTTTCGACTGATGCCGGTGTGGATCCGATTGGTCCGGGCGTGGTTGTGACGGGTCCTGGTGTGGTTTCGACTGGTCCTGGTGTGGATCCGACTGGTCCGGGTGAGGATCCGACTGGTGCGGGCGTGGTTACAACTGGACCCGGTGTGGTTTCGACTGATGCCGGTGTGGATCCGGTAGGTCCGGGCGTGGTTGTGACGGGTCCTGGTGTGGTTTCGACTGGTCCTGGTGTGGATCCGACTGGTCCAGGTGTGGTTACAACTGGACCCGGTGTGGTTTCGACTGATGCCGGTGTGGATCCGACTGGTCCGAGCGTGGTTGTGACTGGTCCCGGTGTGGTTTCAACTGGTCCTGGTGTAGATCCGACTGGTCCGGGCGTGGATCCGACAGGTCCTGGTGTGGATCCAACTGGTCCAGGTGTGGTTTCGACTGGTCCCGGTGTGGATCTGACTGATGCGGGCGTGGATTCTATTGGTCCGGGTGTAGTTGTTACTGGTCCGGGTGTGGTTTCGACTGGTCCAGGCGTGGTTGCGACTGGTCCCAGTGTGGTTTCCACTGGTCCTGGTGTGGATCCGACTGGTCCGAGCGTGGTTTCGACTGGTCCTGGTGTGGATCCGACTGGTCCGAGCGTGGTTGTGACTGGCCCGGGAGTGGATTCGACTGGTCCGGCTGTAGTTGCCGCGGATGCCTTGGTGGTCACCACCGGAGCAAGTGTTGTTGTTGCGATCTCCTGGCCGCAGCACACTCGGATCTTGTAGTCGTAGCACATGGACGTGGATTGCTCCGCGTTGTTGCAGATGAGACCCACTTGCCCATCACACCTGATCTTCTGTCCCAGATCTTGCCACGCCACGTTGGGGAAGCGCATTGCCTTGCAGTCGATGGCCTCCACTCGGTCGCCCATCGTGCAGATGGCCTGGCCATTCTGCCTGATGTTGTCGAACGTTTCGTAGTCTCCGTTTTGCTTGCTCGTTTGCGGGTTGTCCACGTTGTACCACTCAGACCAAGTTCCCATGCAGGGGACCGCTGCGGCAGTGGTTGTGACTGGCCCAGGTGTGGATGCGACTGGTCCTGGTGTGGATCCGACTGGTCCAGGCGTGGTTACAACTGGACCCGGTGTGGTTTCGACTGATGCCGGTGTGGATCCGACTGGTCCGAGCGTGGTTGTGACTGGTCCCGGTGTGGTTTCAACTGGTCCTGGTGTATATCCAACTGGTGCTGGTGTGGATCCGACTGGTCCAGGCGTGGTTACAACTGGACCCGGTGTGGTTTCGACTGATGCCGGTGTGGATCCGACTGGTCCGAGCGTGGTTGTGACTGGTCCCGGTGTGGTTTCAACTGGTCCTGGTGTAGATCCGACTGGTCTGGGCGTGGATCCGACTGGTCCTGGTGTGGATCCGACTGGTTCAGGCGTGGTTAGAACTGGACCCGGTGTGGTTTCGACTGATGCCGGTGTGGATCCGACTGGTCCGGGCGTAGTTGTGACTGGTCCCGGTGTGGTTTCAACTGGTCCTGGTGTAGATCCGACTGGTCCGGGCGTAGATCCGACTGGTCCTGGTGTGGATCCGACTGGTCCAGACGTGGTTACAACTGGACCCGGTGTGGTTTCGACTGATGCCGGTGTGGATCCGACTGGTCCGAGCGTGGTTGTGACTGGTCCCGGTGTGGTTTCAACTGGTCCTGGTGTAGATCTGACTGGTCCTGGTGTGGATCCGACTGGTCCAGGCCCGGTTACAACTGGACCCGGTGTGGTTTCGACTGATGCGGATGTGGATCCGACTGGTCCGGGCGTGGTTGTGACTGGTCCTGGTGTGGTTTCGACTGGTCCTGGTGTGGATCTGACTGATGCGGGTGTGGATCCGATTGGTCCGAGCGTGGTTGTGACTGGCCCAGGTGTGGATCCGACTGGTCCGGGCGTAGATCCAACTGGTGCTGGTGTGGATCCGACTGGTCCAGGCGTGGTTACAACTGGACCCGGTGTGGTTTCGACTGATGCCGGTGTGGATCCGACTGGTCCGAGCGTGGTTGTGACTGGTCCCGGTGTGGTTTCAACTGGTCCTGGTGTAGATCCGACTGGTCTGGGCGTGGATCCGACTGGTCCTGGTGTGGATCCGACTGGTCCAGGCGTGGTTAAAACTGGACCCGGTGTGGTTTCGACTGATGCCGGTGTGGATCCGACTGGTCCGAGCGTGGTTGTGACTGGTCCCGGTGTGGTTTCAACTGGTCCTGGTGTAGATCCAACTGGTCCGGGCGTGGATCCGACTGGTCTTGGTGTGGATCCGACTGGTCCAGGCGTGGTTAGAACTGGACCTGGTGTGGTTTCGACTGATGCCGGTGTGGATCCGACTGGTCCGAGCGTGGTTGTGACTGGTCCCGGTGTGGTTTCAACTGGTCCTGGTGTAGATCCGACTGGTCCGGGCGTGGATCCGACTGGTCCTGGTGTGGATCCGACTGGTCCAGGCGTGGTTACAACTGGACCCGGTGTGGTTTCGACTGATGCGGATGTGGATCCGACTGGTCCGGGCGTGGTTGTGACTGGTCCTGGTGTGGTTTCGACTGGTCCTGGTGTGGATCTGACTGATGCGGGTGTGGATCCGATTGGTCCGAGCGTGGTTGTGACTGGCCCAGGTGTGGATCCGACTGGTCCGGGCGTGGATCCGACTGGTCCTGGTGTGGATCCGACTGGTGCAGGCGTGGTTAGAACTGGACCCGGTGTGGTTTCAACTGATGCCGGTGTGGATCCGACTGGTCCGAGCGTTGTTGTGACTGGTCCCGGTGTGGATCCGACTGTTCCAGGCGTGGATGCGACTGGTCCGGGCATGGAACCGACTGGTCCGGGTGTGGTTATGACTGGTCTCGGTGTGGATCCGACTGATGCGGGTGTGGATCCGATTGGTGCTGGCGTGGTTGTGACGGGTCCTGGGGTGGTTTCGACTGGTCCTGGTGTGGATCCTACTGGTCCGGGTGTGGAAGCGACTGGTCCGGGAGTGGTTTCAACTGGTCCCTGTGTGGATGCGATTGATGCGGGCGTGGAACCGATTGGTCCGGGCGTGGTTGTGACTGGTCCCGGTGTGGTTTCGACTGGTCCTGGTGTGGATCCGACTGGTCCGAGCGTGGTTGTGACTGGTCCTGATGTAGTTTCAACTGGTCCTGGTGTAGATCCGACTGGTCCCGGTGTGGATCTGACTGATGTGGGCGTGGATCCGATTGGTCCGGGTGTAGTTGTTACTGGTCCGGGTGTGGTTTCCACTGGTCCTGGTGTGGATCCGACTGGTCCGAGCGTGGTTTCGACTGGTCCTGGTGTGGATCCGACTGGTCCGAGCGTGGTTGTGACTGGCCCGGGAGTGGATTCGACTGGTCCGGCTGTAGTTGCCGCGGATTCCTTGGTGGTCACCACCGGAGCAAGTGTTGTTGTTGCGATCTCCTGGCTGCAGCACACTCGGATCTTGTAGTCGTAGCACATGGACGTGGATTGCTCCGCGTTGTTGCAGATGAGACCCACTTGCCCATCACACCTGATCTTCTGTCCCAGATCTTGCCACGCCACATTGGGGAAGCGCATTGCCTTGCAGTCGATGGCCTCCACTCGGTCACCCATCGCGCAGATGGCCTGGCCATTCTGCCTGATGTTGTCGAACGTTTCGTAGTCTCCGTTTTGCTTGCTCGTTTGTGGGTAGTCCACGTTGTACCACTCAGACCACGTTCCCATGCAGGGGACCGCTGCGGCCGTGGTTGTGACTGGCCCAGGTGTGGATCCGACGGGTGCGGGCGTGGTTACAACTGGACCCGGTGTGGTTTCGACTGATGCCGGTGTGGATCCGATTGGTCCAAGCGTGGTTGTGACGGGTCCTGGTGTGGTTTCGACTGGTCCTGGTGTGGATCCGACTGGTCCAGGCGTGGTTACAACTGGACCCGGTGTGGTTTCGACTGATGCCGGTGTGGATCCGATTGGTCCGGGCGTGGTTGTGACGGGTCCTGGTGTGGTTTCGACTGGTCCTGGTGTGGATCCGACTGGTCCAGGCGTGGTTACAACTGGACCCGGTGTGGTTTCGACTGATGCCGGTGTGGATCCGATTGGTCCGGGCGTGGTTGTGACGGGTCCTGGTGTGGTTTCGACTGGTCCTGGTGTGGATCCGACTGGTCCGGGTGAGGATCCGACTGGTGCGGGCGTGGTTACAACTGGACCCGGTGTGGTTTCTACTGATGCCGGTGTGGATCCGGTAGGTCCGGGCGTGGTTGTGACGGGTCCTGGTGTGGTTTCGACTGGTCCTGGTGTGGATCCGACTGGTCCAGGTGTGGTTACAACTGGACCCGGTGTGGTTTCGACTGATGCCGGTGTGGATCCGACTGGTCCGAGCGTGGTTGTGACTGGTCCCGGTGTGGTTTCAACTGGTCCTGGTGTAGATCCGACTAGTCCGGGCGTGGATCCGACAGGTCCTGGTGTGGATCCAACTGGTCCAGGTGTGGTTTCGACTGGTCCCGGTGTGGATCTGACTGATGCGGGCGTGGATTCTATTGGTCCGGGTGTAGTTGTTACTGGTCCGGGTGTGGTTTCGACTGGTCCAGGCGTGGTTGCGACTGGTCCCAGTGTGGTTTCCACTGGTCCTGGTGTGGATCCGACTGGTCCGAGCGTGGTTTCGACTGGTCCTGGTGTGGATCCGACTGGTCCGAGCGTGGTTGTGACTGGCCCGGGAGTGGATTCGACTGGTCCGGCTGTAGTTGCCGCGGATTCCTTGGTGGTCACCACCGGAGCAAGTGTTGTTGTTGCGATCTCCTGGCCGCAGCACACTCGGATCTTGTAGTCGTAGCACATGGACGTGGATTGCTCCGCGTTGTTGCAGATGAGACCCACTTGCCCATCACACCTGATCTTCTGTCCCAGATCTTGCCACGCCACGTTGGGGAAGCGCATTGCCTTGCAGTCGATGGCCTCCACTCGGTCGCCCATCGTGCAGATGGCCTGGCCATTCTGCCTGATGTTGTCGAACGTTTCGTAGTCTCCGTTTTGCTTGCTCGTTTGCGGGTTGTCCACGTTGTACCACTCAGACCAAGTTCCCATGCAGGGGACCGCTGCGGCCTTGGTTGTGACTGCAGCAGGCGTGAAACTAACTGGTCCAGGTGTGGAACTGACTGATGCGGGCGTGGTTACAACTGGACCCGGTGTGGTTTCGACTGGTCCCAGTGTGGATCCAATTGGTCCTGGCGTTGTTGTGACGGGTCCTGGTGTGGTTTCGACTGGTCCTGGTGTAGATCCGACTGGTCCAGGCGTGGTTGTGACTGGCCCGAGAGTGGATCCGACTGGGCCCGGTGTGGTTTCGACTGGTCCAGGCGTGGTTGTGACTGGCACGGGTGTGGTTTCGACTTGTGCGGGTCTGGTTGTGACTGGTCCGGGCGTGGTCGCGACCGGTCCGGGTTTGGTCGTGACCGGTCCGGGCGTGGTTGTGGTTGCTACGGGCCTCGTATTCTCCACCACCTTCTGCGTCACCTGCTCCACCGGCGCTTCCGTCAGCAACTGCGCCGTCGACCTCAGCACGGTCACTGTCGTGACCGGGCCCTCCGTGGTCGCCACGACGACCTGCTTTGTCGGCAGCAGCGGCAGCGGCGGCAGCGGCGCCTTTGTCCCCGCGGTGGTGGTGGGCGCGGCCGAAGTGATGGCCTTGCACTCGCTGGAGTCCTTCACCGCGCCCGACGCCATGCACGTCTTGGTGAAGGTGCACAGCCCCACGGCGTCCGTCTCCTTCGAGATCACACTGCCCGCCACGTACACCTTGCCTCCGACGCAGCAGCCCACTGCGGGATTTCACACGAAGGGGGGAATGAGGATCGACAAGCCGCCCTTCTTTTTCGCGAGCGGAGCCCACTCGGAGACCGCCGTGCACTCTGAGGCCACGCCGAAGCGTTGGACGCTCGCTGGCAACGAGGTCGCGGGACAGACCCGTGGTGCCATTGGTTGACTCACTGAGATCAACAAAGACAGAGAACCCCCCTCCCGTAGGGGTAAGGGCTTTTTAAGCGAGCAGCAGCAACCTATGAAGGCTAATGGCACTTTGGCACTTGAGGTGGTGGGTGGCCAGCACCACGCCAGGTCGTCTTTGTATCTCCCCCTCTGTGGCGATGTTCACTACACACTGCACCAGCTAACTCAATTGAGGCTGAGTTGACCTAGAGGACGCCCAGGCCTGGCTCAGATAATCATCACCAGTGTTGGCCGTGAGCGGGAATCGAACTCGGGTCCGCTGGGTTCGTATCGCGGCGTAGCGCTAACCGCTACCGCCACCGCACGCACACACACACACTCTCGCACGCACACACACACATGGTCGCACGTACACGCACAGACACACGTTCGCACGCACAGACACACGGTCGCACGCACACACACACACGGTCGCACGCACACACACACACGGTCGCACGCACACACGCACACACTCGCACGCACACGCACAGACACACGTTCGCACGCACACACGCACACATGGTCGCACGCACACACGCACGCACGCACACACACACATGGTCGCACGCACACACACACGCGCGGCGGGCCGGCCCCTGCGGCGACTCGGCCTCACCTGCTTCCGTGCATGTCAGCTGCCCATCCTTGCAGTTGCTGCAACAGACAGCGGAAACGGGGGGGGGGGGGGCGGCGGGGGACACAAAGGACGAAGGTCAGCCAACACGGAAGACTTCCCGACGGACGTCAATAGAGTGCGCGGGTTTCGCCTTCCCCTGCCAGCGCTGTGCGTACCCGCGTGGCGCTGTGCGTACGCCCGCACGAGGGCGACCGGGCCCAATCGGAGGACAAACTAAAAGCGAAAGGAAGCTCCGATTTGAAGCTTTCGTGACTGCAGGGATTCATCTTCTTGGTTATTTCGGTAAAGTCACGTAGAAGGGAAATAATAAAATAATATAAATATAATTATTCTCACGACGTTCCGGCCACAACGCAAGCAGCCGTCCTCAGGTGGAGAACAGGTATGTCGGGAAAATGCTGTCTTCCCAGACAGACCTGTTTTCCACCTGAGGACGGCTGCTTGCGGCTGCTTGCGTTGTGGCTGAAACGTCGTGAGAATAATTATATTTATATTATTTTATTATTTCCCTTCTACGAGACTTTACCGAAATAACCAAGAAGATGAAAAGGAGCTGTTCTGAAGCAACGAATACCCAATGTACAATCAGTGTGTACCGTAGCAGTGTGGTGTATAGTGTAGTGTGTAGTAGTGTAGTGTATATAGTAGTGTGTAGTAGTGTAGTGTATACAGTAGTGTATAGTGTAGTGTGTAGTAGTGTAGTGTATATGGTAGTGTATAGTGTAGCGTATAGCAGTGTAGTGTATAGAATAGCAGTGTATCGTGTAGTATATAGTAGTGTAGTGTGAAGTGTATAGTGCAGCGTATAGTCGTGTAGTGTATATTGTATAGTAGTGTAGTGTATAGCAGTGTAGTGTATAGTATAGCAGTGTATAGTGTAGTATATATTAGTATAGTGTGTAGTGTAGCGTATAGTACTGTAGTGTGTAGTGTATAGTGTAGTGTAGAGTGTATAGTAGTGTAGTGTGTAGTGTATAGTGTAGCGTGTAGTGTGTAGTGTAGAAGTGTATAGTAGTGTAGTGTGTAGTGTAGTGTATAGTTTAGTAGTGTATAGCGTAGTGCAGTGACGTGCGGTGCGGTCAATGGCTGGGGAGCCATTGGCTAGTGTCAGAGCCAAATTCACACACTGAGGGGGGCGTGTCCTCACTGAGGGGGGCGTGTTAGACACGTTTCACCTGATGACGATTGCTTGTGTTGCGATCGAAACGTCGTGATGTATTGTTATTTTTTCTACCCACGTGACTTTACCGAAAGAACCAAAGAGTATGGATTCCTGCAGTCACGAAAGCTTCAAATCAAGATTTTACGTCCCCCCTCGGTGAGGCAGATGTGATAGCTGCCTCCCCTGATGCTTTTTCATTGCAGTTTCATGACGAGACCAGTGAGCCTAAATATCTTTATACGCATACTACGTGAAATAAGTTATCTGGAGTATCGAAGGCGAGGACATGAAATGAAGGGGTCTACAAACATCACAATTGGTGACACACTGAGATAGCAACAGGCACGCGCTTATTGCCCGCGCTCCATCCAGTTACTGAGGGGTTGCACAATCAGAGGGGAGGCAGAGCTCGTCGCTGCCTCACCTCTCGTCTCTCCCTGTATTTGCAGTGGAGCTCCGCAAATTTGGCCATTTTGACTTTAAAAATGACTGGATTCTTACAGGAATTACATTTATGGAAGATAAAAAAAAAATCTCGTTATTTATTTTATTCTATTTTTTTTCGTAACAGATATTTTCATTGGAGTATGACAGGTGAAGATCTAGCCTCCCCTGCCTCTCCCCCCTGACCGCACGTCCCTGCTCCCCACCCACCCCCCCTCCCACCCTTTTGACGGAACTCACCACACTTGGCACGAGTCAGAGATGACGATCTGGCCGCCGGCCGGCACGACCTCGTCGCCCAGGTAGCAGCTGCATGCCGAGAGAGCCACGCACCTCATGCTGTTCTCGTCCAGGTACGGGGCGGCAGAGGGGCAACGTGGATAGCAGCCTGCGTGCAACGTAGGTAAGGGTGGGGGAGGTTGGTGGTGGTGGTGGTGGGTTCCTAGCAATGCTCGGTGAAGACTTGGGTTGCGTACGATGGTTAGGGCACGGGTTTGCCTGCTATGTATGGTGGTGATGGTACGTGTGCGCGTTGGACTTCTTTCGTACCGTACGTGAGGGTGGGGGTTGGAGTGGGGGTGGGGGTGGGGTGGGAGTGTGGGGTGGGGGTGGGGTGGGGGTGGGGTGGGGGTGGGAGTGGGAGTGGGGTGGGGGTGGGGGTGGGGTGGGAGTGGGGTTGGTGGTGGTGGTGGGTTCCTAGCAATGCTGGGTGAAGACTTGGGTTGCGTAGGCTGGTTAGGGCACGGGTTTGCCTGCTATGTATGGTGGTGATGGTACGTGTGCGCGTCGGGGTGGTAGTGGGGTGGGAGTGGGGTGGGTGGGGTGGGGGTGGGGTGGGAGTGGGGTGGGGGTCGGGTGGTCGTGGGGGTGGTGTGTGGGTGGGGTGGGGTGGGAGTGGGTGGGGGTGGGGGTGGGGTGGGGGGTAGGAGTGTGGGTGGTAGTGGGGTGGGGTGGGGGGGTTGGTGGTGGTGGTGGTGGGTTCCTAGCAATGCTCGGTGAAGACTTGGGTTGCGTAGGCTGGTTAGGGCACGGGTTTGCCTGCTATGTATGGTGGTGATGGTACGTGTGCGCGTCGGGGTGGTAGTGGGGTGGGAGTGGGGTGGGTGGGGTGGGGGTGGGGTGGGGGTGGGGTGGGGGTGGCGTGTGGGTGGGAGTGGGAGTGTGGGTGGGAGTGGGGGTAGTAGTGGGGGTGGAGGTGGGAGTGGGGGGTGGGAGTGGAGGGTGGGGTGTGGGTGGGGTGGGGTGGGAGTGGAGTGGGGGTGGGAGTGGAGGGTGGGAGTGTGGGTGGGAGTGGGGCGGGGGTGCGGTGGGAGTGGGGGTGGCGTGTGGGTGGGAGTGTGGGTGGAAGTGGGGGGTGGGAGTGGGGGTGGGAGTGTGGGTGAGAGTGGGGTGGGGGTCGGGTGGTCGTGGGGGTGGCGTGTGGGTGGGGTGGGGTGGGAGTGTGGGTGGTAGTGGGGGTGGTAGTGGGGGTGGGAGTGGGGGGTGGGAGTGGGGGGTGGGAATGGTGGTTGGGGTGGGGGGTGGGGTGGGAGTGGGTTGGGGTGGGAGTGTGGGTGGTCGTGGGGGTGGCGTGTGGGTGGGGTGGGGTTGGGGTGGGGGTGGTAGTGGGTGTAGGGTTGGGAGTGGGGGGTGGGAGTGGGGGGTGGCGTGTGGGTGGGAGTGTGGGTGGGAGTGGGGTGGGAGTGGGGGGTGGTGGAGAGTGGGAGGTGGGGGTAGTGGTGGGTGGGGGTAGTGGGGGGGGGAGATGTTCACCTTCCATGCGAGGTAGCGCGAATCCGCCGGGCTGCTGCTGCTTGCGGCAGGTGAGCGGCAGGGTGCCGCAGGCGCTGTAGTGCCACGTGCAGTCGCTGTCGTCCTTGTTGTAGTAGTCACAGAACACGGCTGTTGGTGGGTGGACACGGCGACATATGCAACAACAACAAAAACAACCGCCATTCGCCACTAAGTGGCGGTAACGTCACCACGACGCTTGTGCCAGGCCAAGTGCACCTTGAGGCCATGTGAGGTGTCGAACGCCCGCTGGCAGGAGGTCACGGGGCAGACCCAGCAAATGTCACGGGTCGACTGACTGAGATGACCGAGATGACTGGCTGATGCACCACCTGTGCCCCCTACTGTGCCAAATTGCTGTGCTTTAGACACCCGATGCTCCGCTCGTTGTTGTGAGCATCTCTCCTCCGCCCTCCGTTGTTGTTGGAGGGCGACTGCCTCCAACTGCCCAGTAGCGTCCTTCACGAGCCTCCTCCACAGAGGCCGATCTTGACACCGCTGGTACCAGTCATCGGCAAGTCCACTCAGCTCCACGTCCTCCTGTACCACATCACTCCATTTCTTCTCTAGCCCATACCGTGCCCGTTTAGCCCCCTCTATCCGGCCGAACAAAAGCTGTTTACGCATGGGGTGACTGGGCATGCGGGCTACATGGCCCAGCCAATGCAGCCTTGCCCACGGGAGGAGCTCACTGATGGGACTTTGCCCGGATCTTTCAAGGATTTGTGAGCTCATCACACAATCCAGCCTGGTTAAACCCAGGATGGATCGTAGGCAGGCCGGCCTAAATGTTTCCAATCTGCGAAGATGCTCCATTAGGGGGGTCCTGCAAAAACAACCCCCTACCTCCTCGTGATGCCGGACGGTCAACGTTGTCGTGGACGGTGCCGCGGGGGGAGGTGCCAATTCCGATTGGCCTTTCCACTCAGGGCGTTTGTAGCCACCACAGTGGCTAAATGGGGGCTCTGGACGGGTGCGAGGGGCTGATAACCCCTCCACCTTCAATAAATTACCACCTAACCCCACACACATAGCCTTAACAGACTGTAGGGGCAAGTGCTGTTAGCGAGCACCTATGAAGGCCAAAACGGTACACGAGGGGGTGGGTGGCCAGCCACCACGCCCGACCGCCTATGTCTCTCCAGTGTTCAATGTTTACACACCGCACCAGGTACTCATTTGAGGCTGAGTCGACCTAGGGGAGGGCCCAGGACCGGTTCAGATAATTGTCACTGATGTTGGCAGTGAGCGGGAATCGAACCCGTGTCGCCGGGTTCATAGCGCAGCGAAACACACACGCACACGCACGCACATGCACCCCCACACCTCCCCGCCCAAACGTCGCGACCACTCACGGCATCGCTCGGGGGTTCTCCACTTGACGCACACGCCCGCCTCGTTGCAGGCCTGCGCGTACGCGGCCACTGCCGTGCAGAAGCACTCGCAATCGCCGCCCGTGTCGCACGCGCACGAGTCGCGCACGCACGCGTCGAAGTACGGCACGTGGTACACCTGCAGGGGGGACACGTGGGGAGGGGGGGGGGGGATACGTGGTGAGCTACTTGATACACCTGGAAGCACGTGGTACACCTGGAGGGGACACGAGGGGGGGGGAGGGGTGGGACACGAGGGGGGGGGGAGGGGTGGGACACGTGGTGAGCTACGTGATACACCTGGAAGCATGTGGTACACCTGGAGGGGACACGAGGGGGGGGGAGGGGGGGGACACGCGGTGAGCTACTTGATACACCTGGAGGCACGTGGTACACCTGCAGGGGGGACACGTGGCGGGGGGGGGGACAGGCGGTGAGCTACTTGATACACCTGGTAGCACGTGGGGGGGGGGGGGGTGGGACACACACGCGGTGAGCTACATGGAACACCTGGAGGCACGTGGTACATCTGCAGGGGGGGCACGTGGTACATCTGCAGGGGGGACACGTGGGGGGGGGGGGGACACACACGTGGTGAGCTACGTGGTACACCTGGAAGCATGTGGTACACCTGGAGGGGACACGAGGGGGGGGAGGGGTGGGACACGAGGGGGGGAGGGGTGGGACACGAGGGGGGGAGGGGTGGGACACGAGGGGGGGGGGAGGGGTGGGACACGTGGTGAGCTACGTGATACATCTGGAAGCATGTGGTACACCTGGAGGGGACACGAGGGGGGGGGGAGGGGTGGGACACGTGGTGAGCTACGTGATACACCTGGAAGCATGTGGTACACCTGGAGGGGACACGAGGGGGGGGGAGGGGTGGGACACGCGGTGAGCTACTTGATACACCTGGTAGCACGTGGGGGGGGGGGGGTGGGACACACACGCGGTGAGCTACATGGAACACCTGGAGGCACGTGGTACATCTGCAGGGGGGGCACGTGGTACACCTGCAGGGGGGACACGTGGGGAGGGGGGGGGGGGACAGGCGGTGAGCTACCGGATACACCTGGAGGCACGTGATACACCTGGAGAGGACACGGGGGGGGGAGGGGTGGGACACGAGGGGAAGGGAGGGGTGGGACACGAGGGGGGGGGGGAGGGGTAGGACACGCGGTGAGCTACGTGATACACCTGGAAGCATGTGGTACACCTGGAGGGGACACGAGGGGGGGGGAGGGGTGGGACACGAGAGGGGGGAGGGGTGGGACACGTGGTGAGCTACGTGGTACACCTGGAAGCATGTGGTACACCTGGAGGGGACACGAGGGGGGGGGGGGACACGAGGGGGGGGGGGGGGGGACACGAGGGGGGGGGGGGGACACGAGGGGGGGGGGGGGGACACGGAGGGGGGGGGGGGGGGGACACGAGGGGGGGGGGACACGAGGGGGGGGGGGGGGGACACGAGGGGGGGGGGACACGAGGGGGGGGGGGACACGAGGGGGGGGGGGGGGGGACACGAGGGGGGGGGGGACACGAGGGGGGGGGGGGACACGAGGGGGGGGGGGACACGAGGGGGGGGGGACACGAGGGGGGGGGGGGGGACACGAGGGGGGGGGGGGGACACGAGGGGGGGGGGGGGACACGAGGGGGGGGGGACACGAGGGGGGGGGGGGACACGAGGGGGGGGGGGGACACGATGGGGGGGGGGGACACGAGGGGGGGGGGGACACGAGGGGGGGGGGGAGGGACACACACGCGGTGAGCTACGTGATAGAGACGGTGAGGTTCGTAGGTCGGGGGTGGTGGAGGTGGTGATGGTGATGGTGGCAGCTGTGGTGGAGGTCATGGTGGTGGTGGCGGAGGTCGTGGTGGAGGTCGTGGTGGTGGTGATCGTGGTAGCGGTGAAGACCGCGGTGGTGGAGGTCATGGCGGAGGTGGTGGTGGCAGTGGTGGTGCAGGTCATGGCGGAGCTGGTGGTGGCAGTGGTGGTGCAGGTCATGGTGGTGGTGGTGGCGGAGGTGGAGGTCATGGTGGTGGTGGCCATAGTAGCGGTGAAGATCGTGGTGGTGGATCTCATGGTGGAGGTGGTGCATGCCGTCAGTTATGGCCGTGGTAGCGGTGAAGACAACAGCACCACCACCACCGCCGCCGCCTCTGCCACACCACCCAAACCACTGAGCGCGCACCTGGTCGTGGCAGTCCTGGAAGACGTCGCTGTTGATGATGTTGCACTTGCGCTGGGCCCACACGAGGCGGTAGGGGTTGCGCTCGCATGGCCGCGCCTCGGCTTCGACGGCGGCGCAGCTCTCCTTCATCTTCCAGCTGTTGCCGAACGCCACGGCGCTCGCCACCGTTGTGCCGTCGGCCGTGCGGAAGTCGTCGCTCACGTCGCCGTTGAAGTTGCCGCAGAGGCCGCACACCTTGCCCTGCGGGGGGTTTGGTGGGAGGTGGGAGATGGGAGGGGAAACACACATGGGGAGTGGAGTGAGTGAGAGAGTGAGTGAGTGAGGGAGAGAGGGAGGAAGAGAGTGAGGGAGGGAGAGAGGGAGGGAGGGAGACAAGGAGAGTGGATTGTGAGTGGAGTGAGTGAGTTGAGGGAGAGTGGAGTGTGAGTGAGTGCAGTGAGTGGGTGAGTGAGGAGTGAGTGAGTGAGAGCGTGAGGAGTGAGTGAGTGCAGTGAGAGAGGGAGGGAGAGTGGAGTGAGAGAGTAAGGGAGTGAGAGAATGAGGGAGGGAGTGAGTGAGTAAGTGAGAGAAGAGTGAGTGAGTGAGAGCGTGAGGAGTGAGTGAGTGGAGTGAGGGAGGGAGGGAGAGTGGAGTGAGAGAGTAAGGGAGTGAGAGAATGAGAGGAGTGAGTAAGTGAGAGAGGAGTGAGTGAGTGAGAGTGAGACACTTTTGACTTTCAAACCACTTTTATTGCTGCCAGCAGCAGCAACAGCACCGGAGCCGATTTCGATACGAAACCCCCACAAAGTCGTCAGCGGCAACAAATAACCCGAAATAAAGGTAATTGTGACAATGATGATTGTTTTATAACAGTGCGTGTTTTCACGTAACTTTAGTGGTTAAAAAAATGTCAGTAGAAACTTTTGGCCCCCGGGCATCTTCACTTTATCAAATTTGGCCCTCTTTTCCAAAACGTTTGGACACCCCTGCAATAGTTACTCTTTGGCTCTTTCGGTAAAGTCAAGTATGAAGATAAAATAATAAATTAAATAATAGCATACTTCGACGTTTCGATTGCAACACAAGCAAGTGTTGCAATCAAGCAAGTGTTGCAATCGAAATGTCGTAGTATGCTATTATTTAATCTATTATTTTATCTTTATACGTGACTTTACCGAAAGAACCAAAGAGTAATTCCTGCATCTTCTTGGTTTTTTCGGTAAAGTCATCACGTAGAAGGGAAGTAATAAAATAATAAAAACAAAACATAATAAAATAATTATTTTATTATGTTTTATTTGTATTAATAAAAAAATTATTAATAAAATAATTATTTTATTATGTTTTATTTTTATTATTTTATTACTTCCTTTCTACGTGATGACTTTACCGAAAAAACCAAGAAGATGAATCCCTGCAGTCACGAAAGCCTTAAATCGAAAAGTAATTGCTGCAGTCACGAAAGCTACAAATTAAGATTGAACCTCCTGCAATATGCCAAAGAAAGCACGCGGTGCTCAACGCTCCACGCGCGACACGTGGCGTCGCACGTGGCGTCACACGTGGTGTTGCACGTCATTGTTGGCGCCACGCCCCACTCACTACAAGGAGGTCCCGCCCGGCACGCTCGCCCGCCATACCTTGTAGCTCGCGTCGAGTTTGACGAAGATGCTCGTGTGCCGGTCCCACATGACCATGACGCCGATGTCCGTCTGCACGATGCGGTAGAGCCCCACCGAGTGGACGCTGAGCGCGCCGACGTCCGGCAAAGCCGCGCCGCTTACGGGCAGCACCTGCACGGCGCCGTCCTTCATGCGCACCTCCACGTTGTACGCCTGCGCCGTGGAGTGTGGGGGTGAGGGGGGAGGAGGGAGATGCAGGTGAGTGGGTGGGGGGAGGATGGGGGGTGGGGAGGGGGGAGACGCAGGTGAGTGGGTGGGTTGGGGGGGGGGGGGAGATGCAGGTGAGTGGGTGGGGGAGGGGGAGATGCAGGTGAGTGGGTGGGTGGGGGTGGGGAGGGGAGGGGGGAGACGCAGGTGAGTGGGTGGGTGGGGGGGGGGGAGACGCAGGTGGGTGGGGGGAGGGGGGGAGACGCAGGTGAGTGGGTGGGGGTGGGGGGAGGGGGGAGACGCAGGTGGGTGAGTGGGTGGGAGGGGAGGGGGGAGATGCAGGTGAGTGGAGAGGGGGGAGACGCAGGTGAGTGGGTGGGTGGGGAGGGAGGAGGGGGGGAGGAGGGGGGGGAGATGCAGGTGGGTGGGTGGGCAGAGACACTGATGAGTGGTGGGTGGGGAGAGAGATTAAGGTGGGTGGGGGTGGGTGGGGAGGTGAGGGGGGAGACGCAGGTGAGTGGGTGGGTGGGGGGGAGGGGGGGGACGCAGGTGAGTGGGTGGGTGGGGGTGGGGAGGGGAGGGGGGAGACGCAGGTGGGTGGGTGGGGGGGGAGGGAGGAGGGGGGGAGGGGGGAGATGCAGGTGTGTAGGTGGGGAGAGACACTGATGAGTGGTGGGTGGGGAGAGAGATTAAGGTGGTGGGTGGGGAGGGGAGGGGGGAGACGCAGGTGAGTGGGTGGGTGGGTTGGGGGGGAGGGGGAGATGTGGGTGGGTGGGGGGGAGGGGGAGACGCAGGTGAGTGGGTGGGGAGAGACACCAATGGGTGGTGATGGGTGGGTGGGTGGTGATGGGTGGGTGGGTGGTGATGGGTGGGTGGGTGGTGATGGGTGGGTGGGTGGTGATGGGTGGATGGGTGGTGATGGGTGGGTGGGTGGGGAGGGAGGGAGGGAGACACAGATGCGTGGTCGGGTGGGGAGACACGGTGGTTGGGGTGAGGGCGCGAGCGAGTGAATCGAATACGAGAAGAGAGGGAGACCGAGACAGTGGATCAGACGCGGGGGTTCAAGCCCAGACGGTGGGTTGTGTGGGGTGTGGGGGTGTGGGGCCGGGGTGACCTCTGACCTTGACGAATAGGCGCACGGACTTGGAGCAGGAGACCCCCGTGGTGCCGCAGTCTTCGTTGTCGGTGATGATCTGGAAGGTTCCTGCACCCGACGCTCCACCGCAGTAGTCCTACGGGACAAAGCGTTCCCCTTTAGCGGTGATGTCCGGGGCGGGGGCGGGTGCCGTTCGCAACTTTCGGCCGGCTGGGGCCTCGCCGTCTGGAGCTGCGTAACTATTTTTTAAATCCTTTATATTAAGTTCACTTGCTTGCGCGCTTGCTTGCTTGCTTGCTTACGACCGTGCAAACCTTTCGGTCGTTTTTTAACCCACTTCCCGTGATCCAATCGAGCTGACAATGAATGTTCGTGAAAAAAAATTTCCCTAAATTTTACACTTTTTAGGACAAAAATATTATATTTAATTACCAATTGCTTAATGGTGCCATGCAATCATCTGACCCATAGGTGGCAGCCATCTCAAGCCAGAGGACGAGAGGACTCTAGCCGCCACGCATATAAAGGATTTATAGTGAAAAACTTTGTTTTTACGGGTTAATTTTTTTCAGAAGCGGCCCTTTGGCCGTCACAAATGAACATCTACGGCAGCTGCCGCATTCTCCAAACGCACGGAGGTGCATTGTGACCCATAAACTAAGCGACAACTGAACTAATGATAATTGTTTTTTTACCCTTCTATCTGGCAACAAAACTGTACACGTTTTTACAAGGAGCCATGTAAATGCTTACCCCGAGCTCTCATACTCTGATGGTGCATTGTCTTTGAGTTGTGCGCCTTTTGGCGTCATCTGGTCCAACACCATGTGAGACTAGGCTCTAAGGAAAGCTGTCCCTTCTACGTAACTTTACCCAAAGAACCAAGAACATGGATCTAAACTAGTTTTATCGTCAACAGGTATAAGGTCCCCACTACTGAACTGCTACTGCTTAGCTTCTGTCACAGAAGCGAGAACCCTGGCCATCACAAACGAGAGCAGCTTAACCAAGTCGCTTGTCATCGACGAACGCGTGGAGACGTTGATTCTAAATGTGGAGGGGAAAAAACAACCCCAGAGGACCCAGAAAAAAATCCGCACGGCCACGGGGGGAGAGAGAGAGACGCAAACCCCAAATATATAACAGGCATCAAGGTCGGGATCGAACACACGATCTCCTGTATACCAGGCAAGGTAGTTAACATCTCATAGCCACCATGGCTTTAGGGTCGGGATGGAACCCACGACCTCCTGCATACCGGGCGAGGTAGTTAACATCTCCTAGCCACCGTTGCTATTAGGGTCGGGATGGAACCCACGACCTCCTGTGTACCGGGCGAGGTAGTTAACATCTCCTAGCCACCGTTGCTATTAGGGTCGGGATGGAACCCACGACCTCCTGCATACCGGGCGAGGTAGTTAACATCTCCTAGCCAACGTGGCTATTAGGGTCGAGATGGAACCCACGATGACCTCCTGCGTACCGGACGAGGTAGTTAACATTTCCTAGCCCACCGTGATGATGATAGAAAGAGAGACGCAGACTGCAAATATACAGAAGGCGTCAGGGTCGAGATTGAACCCACGACCTCCTGCGTACCGGGCGGCGAGGTGGTTAACATCTCCTAGCCCCCATGATGATGAGAGAGAGAGAGAGACGCAGACTCCCAATATACTGCAGCAGGCATCGTCAGGGTCGAGATTGAACCCACGACCTCCTGTGTACCGGGCGAGGTAGTTAACATCTCCTAGCCAACGTGGCTATTAGGGTCGGGATGGAACCCACGACCTCCTGTGTACCAGACGAGGTAGTTAACATCTCCTAGCCACCGTGGCTATTAGGGTCGAGATGGAACCCACGATGACCTCCTGCGTACCGGGCGAGGTAGTTAACATCTCCTAGCCACCGTGATGATGGGAGAGATATACGCAGATTCCCAATATACAGCAGCAGGCATCGTCAGGGTCGAGATTGAACCCACGACCTCCTGTGTACCAGGCGAGGTAGTTAACATCTCCTAGCCAACGTGGCTATTAGGGTCGGGATGGAACCCACGACCTCCTGTGTACCAGGCGAGGTAGTTAACATCTCCTAGCCACCGTGGCTATTAGGGTCGAGATGGAACCCACGATGACCTCCTGCGTACCGGGCGAGGTAGTTAACATCTCCTAGCCACCGTGATGATGGGAGAGATATACGCAGACTCCCAATATACAGCAGCAGGCATCGTCAGGGTCGAGATTGAACCCACGACCTCTTGTGTACCGGGCGAGGTAGTTAACATCTCCTAGCCAACGTGGCTATTAGGGTCGGGATGGAACCCACGACCTCCTGTGTACCAGGCGAGGTAGTTAACATCTCCTAGCCACCGTGGCTATTAGGGTCGAGATGGAACCCACGATGACCTCCTGCGTACCGGGCGAGGTAGTTAACATCTCCTAGCCCACCGTGATGATGATAGAAAGAGAGACGCAGACTGCAAATATACAGAAGGCGTCAGGGTCGAGATTGAACCCACGACCTCCTGTGTACCGGGCGAGGTTGTTAACATCTCCTAGCCCCCATGATGATGAGAGAGAGAGAGAGACGCAGACTCCCAATATACTGCAGCAGGCATCGTCAGGGTCGAGATTGAACCCACGACATCCTGTGTACCGGGCGGCGAAGTGGTTAACATCTCCTAGCCAACGTGGCTATTAGGGTCGAGATTGAACCCACGACCTCCTGCATACCGAGCGAGGTGGTTAACATCTCCAAGCCAACGTGGCTATTAGGGTCGAGATGGAACCCACGATGACCTCCTGCATACCGGGCGAGGTAGTTAACATTTCCTAGCCCACCGTGATGATGATAGAAAGAGAGACGCAGACTGCAAATATACAGAAGGCGTCAGGGTCGAGATTGAACCCACGACCTCCTGTGTACCGGGCGAGGTTGTTAACATCTCCTAGCCCCCATGATGATGAGAGAGAGAGAGACGCAGACTCCCAATATACTGCAGCAGGCATCGTCAGGGTCGAGATTGAACCCACGACATCCTGTGTACCGGGCGGCGAAGTGGTTAACATCTCCTAGCCAACGTGGCTATTAGGGTCGAGATTGAACCCACGACCTCCTGTGTACCGGGCGGCGAGGTGGTTAACATCTCCTAGCCCATCGTGGCGTTGGGGTCTCACCTGCGTGATGGCGTAGTCGCACTTCCCGTCGAAGATGAATCGGCGCCCGTCGTAGGTGATGAAGTGGCCGTCGCCGTACATCTTGCACATGCCGGGGCACGTGGCGTTCGTGCAGCTCCACACGCCTCCGTTGCACGTGCTGCCAAGGGGGGGGTGACACAACGCCGGTACGTGTGAGCGTGCGAGTGTGCGAGTGCGTGTGTGTGTGTGAGTGCGTGTGTGTGCGCGTGTGTGAGTGCGTGTGTGTGTGAGTGCGTGTGTGTGTGAGTGCGCGTGTGTGTGTGAGTGCGTGTGTGAGTGCGTGTGTGTGAGTGAGTGTGTCTGTGTGTGAGTGCGTGTGTGTGTGTGAGTGCGTGTGTGTGTGAGTGCGTGCGTGTGTGTGAGTTTGTGTGTGTGAGTGCGTGTGTGTGTGTGCGTGTGTGTGTGTGAGTGTGTGTGCGTGTGCGTGTGAGTGCGTGCGTGTGTGTGAGTGTGTGAGTGCGTGCGTGTGTGTGAGTGTGTGTGTGTGAGTGCGTGTGTGTGTGAGTGCGCGTGTGTGTGTGAGTGCGTGTGTGTGTGTGAGTGCGTGTGTGTGTGAGTGCGTTTGTGCGCGTGTGTGGTGTGCGTGTGTGTGTGTGTGAGTGTGTGCGTGTGAGTGTGGTGTGAGCGTGTGTGTGTGCGTGTGTGTGTGAGTAAGTGTGTCTGTGTGTGAGTGAGTGTGGTGTGGTGTGCGTGTGTGAGTGCGTGTGTGTGTGAGTGCGTGTGTGTGTGAGTGCGTGTGGTGTGTGAGTGTGTGTGCGTGTGAGTGCGCTGAGTTGTGTGTTGAGTGCGTGTGTGTGTTGTGAGTGCGTGTGTGTGTGTGGAGTGTCGTGTGTGTGTGTGAGTGCGTGTGTGTGTGAGTGCGTGTGTGAGTGCGTGTGTGAGTGAGTGTGTGTGTGTGGTGTGTGTGTGAGTGCATGGTATGTGAGTGTGTCTGTGTGTGAGTGTGTGTGCGTGTGCGTGTGAGGCGTGTGTGTGTGAGTGTGTGTGTGAGGTGCGTGTGTGTGTGAGTGCGCGTGTCTGTGTGTGAGTGCGTGTGTGAGTGCGGTGTGTGAGTGAGTGTGTCTGTGTGTGAGTGCGTTTGGTGTGTTGTGTGAGTGCGTGTGTGTGTGAGTGCGTGTGGTGTGTGTGAGTCGTGTGTGTGTGTGAGTGCGTGTGTGTGAGTGTGTGTGTGTGTGTGTGAGTGCGTGTGTGGTGTGTGCGTGCGTGTGTGAGTGTGTGTGTGCGTGTGTGAGTGTGTCTGTGTGTGAGTGGTGTGTGTGTGTGAGTGCGTGTGTGAGTGCGTGTGTGTGAGTGAGTGTGTCTGTGTGTGAGTGCGTGTGTGTGTGTGAGTGCGTGTGTGTGTGAGTGCGTGCGTGTGTGTGAGTTTGTGGTGTGAGGAGTGTGTGTGTGTGTGCGAGGTGTGTGTGTGAGGTGTGTGGCGTGTGCGTGTGAGTGCGTGCGTGTGTGTGAGTGGTGAGTGCGTGCGTGTGTGTGAGTGTGTGTGTGAGTGCGTGTGTGTGTGAGTGCGCGGTGTGTGTGAGTGCGTGTGTGTGTGAGTGCGTGTGTGTTGAGTGCGTTTGTGCGCGTGTGTGTGTGCGTGTGGTGTGTGTGAGTGTGTGCGTGTGAGTGTGTGTGTGAGCGTGTGTGTGTGTGCGGTGTGTGTGTGAGTAAGTGTCTGTGTGTGAGTGCGTGTGTGTGTGTGTGTGTGTGAGTCGTGGGGGTGAGTGCGTGTGTGTGTGAGTGCGTTGTGTGTGAGTGTGTGTGCGTGGAGTGAGTGCGTGTGGTGTGTGAGTGCGTGTGTGGTGTGTGAGTGCGTTGTGGGTGTGTGAGTGGCGTGTGTGTGTGAGTGCGTGTGTGTGTGAGTGCGTGTGTGAGTGCGTGTGTGAGTGGTGTGTGTGTGCGTGTGGTGTGTGAGTGCATGTGTATGTGAGTGTGTTGTGTGTGAGTGTGTTGGTGGCGTGTGTGAGTGCGTGTGTGTGTGGTGTGTGTGTGAGTGGTGTGTGTGTGAGTGCGGTGTGTGTGTGAGTGAGGTGTGTGAGTGAGTGTGTGTGAGTGAGTGTGTCTGTGTGTGAGTGCGTGTGTGTGTGTGAGTGCGTGTGTGTGTGAGTGCGTGTGTGTGAGTGCGTGTGTGTGTGTGAGTGCGTGTGTGTGTCTGTGGTGGGTGTGTTGTGAGTGTGTGTGCGTGTGAGTGCGTGCGTGGTGTGTGTGAGTGTGTGAGTGCGGTGTGTGTGAGTGTGTGTGTGAGTGCGTGTGTGTGTGAGTGCGCGTGTGTGTGTGAGTGCGTGTGTGTGTTGCGTGTGTGTGTGTGAGTGGTGCTGTGTGTGAAGTGCGTTTGTGCGCGTGTGTGTGTGCGTGTGTGTGTGGTGTGAGTGTGGTGCGGTGTGAGTGTGTGTGTGAGCGTGTGTGTGTGCGTGTGTGTGTGAGTAAGTGTGTCTGTGTGTGAGTTGCGTGTGTGTGTGTGTGCGTGTGTGTGAGTGCGTGTGTGTGAGTGTGTGTGCGTGTGAGTGCGGTGCGTGTGTGTGAGTGTGTGTGAGTGCGTGTGTGTGTGTGTGAGTGCGTGTGTGTGTGAGTGCGTGTGTGTGTGTGAGTGCGTGTGTGTGAGCGGGCGAGTGTGCGCGTGTGTGTGTGTGAGTGCGTGTGTGTGTGAGTGAGTGCGCGTGTGCGTGCGTGTGTGTGTGGGCAGTTGGAGGCAGTCGCCCTCCAACAACAACGGAGGGCGGAGGAGCGACGCTCACAACAACGAGCGGAGCGCCGGGTGGCTAAAGCACAGCAAGTTGGTACAGTAGGGGGCACAGGTGGTGCATCAGCCTGTCATCTCGGTCATCTCGGTCAGTCGACCCGTGGCACCAGCTGGGTCTGCCTCGTAACCTCCTGCCAGCGGGCGTTCGACACTTCACGTGGTAGCCTCAAGGTGCACTTGGCCTGGCACAAGCGTCGTGGTGACGTCACCGCCACTTAGTGGCGAATGGCGGTTGTTGTTGTTGTTGTGTGTGTGTGGGGAGCGGTAATGTAGCGGTTAGCGCGCTGCGCTATGAACCTGGCGACCCGGGGTTTGATTCACGGCCAACATTGGTGGCGATTATCTGAACCGGTCCTGGGCCTTACCTAGGCCTACTCAGCCTAAAATGAGACAAAGTCGGCCGGGCCGTGGTGTTGGCTACCCACCCCCTCGTGTGCCGTGCCGGCCTTCATAGGTGCTCGCTAACAGCACTTGCCCCTACAGTCTGTTAAGAGGCTACGCGGGGGACCATTGCCTGTGTGTAGAACAAGCTCATGGTGCTGGCCACCCACCCACCTACCCACCCACCCCCTCGTGTGCCACAGTGCGGGTCGCCTTCATAGCTGCCACTCGCACCATCAGCGCTTGCTCCAACAGTCCATTAAGAGGCTACGTGGTTTGACCTTTGTCTGTGTGTAGAACAAGGGCATGGTGCTGGCCACCCACCCATCCCCCACCTACCCACCCACCCACCCACCAACCCACCCAACCACCCACCCCCTCGTGTGCCACAGTGCGGGTCGCCTTCATAGCTGCCACTCGCGCCATCAGCGCTTGCTCCTACAGTCCATTAAGAGGCAACGTGGTGGACCTTTTCCTGTGTGTGTGGTGGTGGTGGTGGTGGTGACACGCGTACCACTTGTTGCAGTCCACCGTGGCCACCTCGCCCTTGCGGTACGTGACGCCGTTGTGCACGCAGGGACATGCGTCTTGCACCACGCACGCGCCTGCATCGTCCAGCACGAGACCAGCAGGGCACGTGCAGCCAGACTGGCAAGAGCTCTTCATCTGTGGTGTGTGTGTGGGGGGGGGGGGGGGAGTGGAAGATCGTCATTGTCATCGTCATCATCATTGTCATCATAATCATCATCAATGTGGTGTCATCATTATCATTGTGTCGTCGTCATCATCATCATCAATGTGTGCTCATAATCATCAACTCACGCAGGGCATGCCGGCGCTGCGACAGCTGGCCTGGCAGGCCACGCCGAGGTCCCCGTCCGCCAGCTTTGAGCAGTTGGCGTAGACCTTGGGCGAGACGCAGCCCTCTGTGGACAAGAGACAGGTTGGGTGGTGGTCCGGTTGGTGGTGGTGGTTGTGGTGGTTGTGGTGGTGGTGGTGGTTGTGGTGGTTGTGGTGGGGGTGGTGGGGGTGGTTGTGGTGGTTGTGATGTGGTGGTGGTGTGGTGGTGGTTGTGGTGGTTGTGGTGGGGGTGTGGTGGTGGTGGTTGTGGTGGTTGTTGTGGTGGTGGTTGTTGTGGTGGTGGTTGTGGTGGTTGTGGTGGGGGTGGTTGTGGTGGTTGTGGTGGGGGTGGTGGTTGTGGTGGTGGTTGTGGCGGTTGTGGTGTCACGTGGTGTGGGTGGTGGTTGTGGTGGTTGTGGTGGGGGTGGTGGGGGTGGTGGTGGTGGTTGTGGTGGTTGTGGTGGGGGTGGTGGGGGTGGTTGTGGTGGTTGTGGTGGGGGTGGTGGGGGTGGTTGTGGTGTGGTGGTGGTGTGGTGGTGGTTGTGGTGGTTGTGGTGTGGTGGTGGTGTGGTGGTGGTTGTGGTGGTTGTGGTGGGGGTGGTGGGGGTGGTTGTGGTGGTTGTGTGTTGGTTGTGTGGTGGTGGTTGTGGTGGTTGTGGTGGTGGTGTGGTGGTGGTGGTTGTGGTTGTGGTGGTTGTGGTGGTAGATAAACGGGAGAGACGCGGAGATGCCTCGTTCTGGACAAACGGGGAGATAGAGATCCACAGAGACCCATAGAGACCCACAAAAAGAATCATAGAGACCCACAGAGACTCATATAAACCCACAGAGACTCATAGAGACCCACAGAGACTCATAGAGTCCCACAGAGACCCATAGCGACCCACAAAGAGAATCAGAGACTCACAGAGACCCATAGAGACCCACAAAGAGACTCATAGAGACCCACAGAGACTCATAGAGACCCACAGAGAGACTCATAGAGACCCACAGAGACTCATAGAGACCCACAGAGACCCATAGCGACCCACAAAGAGAATCAGAGAGACCCACAGAGACTCATATAAACCCACAGAGACTCGTAGAGACCCACAGAGACTCATAGAGACCCACAAAGAGACTCATAGAGACCCACAGAGACTCATAGAGACCCACAGAGACCCATAGCGACCCACAAAGAGAATCAGAGAGACCCACAGAGACTCATAGAGACCCACAGAGACTCATAGAGTCCCACAGAGACCCATAGCGACCCACAAAGAGAATCAGAGACCCACAGAGACCCATAGAGACCCACAAAGAGACTCATAGAGACCCACAGAGACTCATAGAGACCCACAGAGAGACTCATAGAGACCCCACAGAGACTCATAGAGTCCCACAGAGACCCATAGCGACCCACAAAGAGAATCAGAGACCCACAGAGACCCATAGAGACCCATAGAGACCCACAAAGAGACTCATAGAGACCCACAAAGAGACTCATAGAGACCCACAAAGACTCATATAAACCCACAGAGACTCATAGAGACCCACAGAGACTCATAGAGTCCCACAGAGACCCATAACGACCCACAAAGATAATCAGAAACCCACAGAGACTCATAGAAACCCACAGACCCATAGCGACCCACAAAGAGAATCAGAGACCCACAGAGACCCATAGAGACCCACAAAGAGACTCATAGAAACCCACAAAGAGACTCATAGAGACCCACAAAGAGACTCATAGAGACCCACAGAGACTCATAGAGACCCACAAAGAGACTCGTAGAGACCCACAAAGAGACTCATAGAGACCCACAGAGACTCATAGAGACCCACAAAGAGACTCTTAGAGACCCACAGAGACTCATAGAAACCCACAGAGACTCATAGAGACCCACAGAGACCCATAGCGACCCACAAAGAGAATCAGAGAGACCCACAGAGACTCATAGAGACCCACAAAGAGACTCATAGAGACCCACAGAGACTCATAGAGACCCACAGAGACTCATAGAGACCCACAGAGACTCATAGAGACCCACAGAGACTCATAGAGACCCACAGAGAGAATCAGAGACCCACAGAGACCCATAGAGACCCACAAAGAGACTCATAGAGACCCACAGAGACCCATAGAGACCCACAAAGAGACTCATAGAGACCCACAGAGACTCAGAGTCCCACAGAAACCCATAGCGACCCATAAAGAGAATCAGAGACCCACAGAGACCCATAGAGACCCACAAAGAGAATCAGAGACCCACAGAGACTCATAGAGACCCACAAAGAGACTCATAGAGTCCCACAGAGACCCATAGCGACCCACAAAGAGAATCAGAGACCCACAGAGACCCATAGAGACCCACAAAGAGACTCATAGAGACCCACAGAGACTCATAGAGACCCACAGAGAGACTCATAGAGACCCACAGAGACTCATAGAGTCCCACAGAAACCCATAGCGACCCACAAAGAGAATCAGAAACCCACAGAGACTCATAGAGACCCACAAAGAGACTCGTAGAGACCCACAAAGAGACTCATAGAGACCCACAGAGACTCATAGAGACCCACAAAGAGACTCTTAGAGACCCACAGAGACTCATAGAAACCCACAGAGACTCATAGAGACCCACAGAGACCCATAGCGACCCACAAAGAGAATCAGAGAGACCCACAGAGACTCAGAGACCCACAAAGAGACTCATAGAGACCCACAGAGACTCATAGAGACCCACAGAGACTCATAGAGACCCACAGAGACTCATAGAGACCCACAGAGACTCATAGAGACCCACAGAGAGAATCAGAGACCCACAGAGACCCATAGAGACCCACAAAGAGACTCATAGAGACCCACAGAGACCCATAGAGACCCACAAAGAGACTCATAGAGACCCACAGAGACTCAGAGTCCCACAGAAACCCATAGCGACCCACAAAGAGAATCAGAGACCCACAGAGACCCATAGAGACCCACAAAGAGACTCATAGAGACCCACAGAGACTCATAGAGACCCACAGAGAGACTCATAGAGACCCACAGAGACTCATAGAGACCCACAGAGACCCATAGCGACCCACAAAGAGAATCAGAGAGACCCACAGAGACTCATATAAACCCACAGAGACTCGTAGAGACCCACAGAGACTCATAGAGACCCACAAAGAGACTCATAGAGACCCACAGAGACTCATAGAGACCCACAGAGACCCATAGCGACCCACAAAGAGAATCAGAGAGACCCACAGAGACTCATAGAGACCCACAGAGACTCATAGAGTCCCACAGAGACCCATAGCGACCCACAAAGAGAATCAGAGACCCACAGAGACCCATAGAGACCCACAAAGAGACTCATCGAGACCCACAGAGACTCATATAAACCCACAGAGACTCATAGAGACCCACAGAGACTCATAGAGTCCCACAGAGACCCATAGCGACCCACAAAGAGAATCAGAGACCCACAGAGACCCATAGAGACCCGCAAAGAGACTCATAGAGACCCACAAAGAGACTCATAGAGACCCACAGAGACTCATAGAGACCCACAGAGACTCATAGAGTCCCACAGAGACCCATAGCGACCCACAAAGAGAATCAGAGAGACCCACAGAGACCCATAGCGACCCACAAAGAGAATCAGAGAGACCCACAGAGACTCATAGAGACCCACAAAGAGACTCATAGAGACCCACAGAGACTCATATAGACCCACAGATACTCATATAAACCCACAGAGACTCATAGAGACCCACAGAGACTCATAGAGTCCCACAAAGAGACTCATAGAGACCCACAAAGAGACTCATAGAGACCCACAAAGACTCATATAAACCCACAGAGACTCATAGAGACCCACAGAGAGACTCATAGAGACCCACAAAGAGACTCATAGAGACCCACAGAGACTTATAAATACCCACAAAGAGACTCATAGAGACCCACAGAGACCCATTGAAGACGCAAGCCACAAGAGCACAAGACAAATGATGGACCGGACAGTGAACCCACAGGCACCCCACAGACACTCATAGAGATGCACAAATAAATATATCCACGTGTTATAAGAATAAACATTTTTTTTTGTTAACGAGCTTGAGAAAAAGTGAGATCGAGGAACGGAATCTCACCAACTCCTTGGTCTGACGATTCGCAGGTGATTTTGCCCGCCTTGCAAACGCTGTGGACAGGACAGGAGAAGAGACGGAGGTCACTTGGTGATGGCAATCACGCACTCACTCACACTCACTCATCCACTCGCACTCACTGGCACCCACCCACTCACTCACTCCCCCACCCACTCATCCACCAACCCACTCACTCACCCACACACCCATTCACCCATCCACTCCCACATCCACTCACCCATCCACACACTCACCCACCCACTCACCCACTCATCCACCAACCCACTCACTCACCCACCCACTCACCCACCCACCCACACACTCACCCACCCACTCACCCACTCACTCACTCACTCACTCACCCACTCACCCACTCACCCATTCACCCATCCACTCACCCACCCACTCACCCACTCACCCATCCACTCACCCACCCACTCACCCATCCACTCACCCACCCACTCACCCACCTACTCACCCACCCATTCACCCATCCACTCACCCACCCACCCACTCACCCACCCACCCACCCACTCACTCACCCACCCACCCACCCACTCACCCACTCACCCACTCACCCACTCACCCACTCACCCACCCACTCACCACGCGCGCCCGTCAACGCTGTAGCTCTGCCCGTTGATCACGACGCGGTTGCCCACGTAGCAGGGGCACAGTTCGGGCGCCACGCACTGCGAGGCGCTGTCGAGCAGAGTTCCCGCAGCGCATTGGCAGCCAGAGGCTGGCTCCTCTCCCTCGCACAACGAGGGCTCGGCCACGCCTCGGCACGTGGCCTCACAGGGGCTGGCCGAATCAACGAACACCTGACCGGCAGGGCACTTGGACGCTACGGGCGAGACGGGGGTGGGTGGGGGTTGGGGGGACACGGAGTGAACAGAGTGAGAGTAGGACGACGCGAAAGGGGTGGGTGGGGGTTTGGGGGTGGGTGAGTGGGTGAGTGGGTGAACGGGTGGGTGAGTGGTTGAACGGGTGGGTGAGTGGGTGGGTGGGTGAGTGGGTGGGTGGGTGAGTGGCTGAACGGGTGGGTGAGAGTATGGGGGTGGGGTTGGGGGAACACGGAGTGAGAGTAGGAGGAGGACGACGCGAAAAGGGTGGGTGGGGGTTTGGGGGTGGGTGGATGGGTGCGTGGGTGGGTGGGTGAGTGGCTGAACGGGTGGGTGAGTGTATGGGGGTTGGGGTTGGTGGGACACGGAGTGAACGGGGTGAGGGTAGGAGGAGGACGACGCGAAAAGGGTGGGTGGGGGTTTGGGGGTGGGTGAGTGGGTGGGTGAGTGGGTGGGTGAGTGGGTGGGTGAGTGGCTGAACGGGTGGGTGAGTGTATGGGGTTGGGGTTGGGGTTGGGGGGACACGGAGTGAACGGAGTGAGAGTAGGAGGAGGACGACGCGAAAAGGGTGGGTGGGGGTTTGGGGGTGGGTGAGTGGGTGGGTGAGTGGGTGGGTGAGTGGGTGGGTGAGTGGGTGGGTGAGTGGCTAAACGGGTGGGTGAGTGTATGGGGGTTGGGGTTGGTGGGACACGGAGTGAACGGAGTGAGGGTAGGAGGAGGACGACGCGAAAAGGGTGGGTGGGGGTTTGGGGGTGGGTGAGTGGGTGAGTGGGTGAACGGGTGGGTGAGTGTATGGGGGTGGGGTTGGTGGGACACGGAGTGAACGGAGTGAGAGTAGGAGGAGGATGACGCGAAAAGGGTGGGTGGGGTTGGGGGTTTGGCGGTGGGTCCCATGATGTTGCTGCTCACCCCGATTCCTTACCCGTACCCGTACCCGGCCGCACCAGGGTCGCAAACGGCTACCCGTACTCGTACCCGGCCGGGTACGGGTAGCCGGGTATCGGGTACCCGGTTGCGACCTCTGCATGTAGGCTGTGTGTTGCGGGATATATAAACTTTGAGGTTGAGGTGTAGATTTGTGCAGTAGTTTCAGGCTGCCGCGCCCGCCGCAATAAGTTCTAATGTAACGTTCTAAGCCTCGTTTTGGCGCCTCTTTACCTTGGCGCCCGGGGACATATATACCCCCCTGCCCCCACCCCCCCTAGCTACGTCTCTGTGACTCTCACCGCAGATCGCTGGGTTCCAATTGGCGATGAGCACTCCTCGTAGCGCGCAGGCGTGCGCGTACGCCGACACTGACGCACAGAAGCAGTCCTGTCCGCAGTGGCACGAGTCGTGTTTGCAGTTCTGAGAGACACGCAGAAGGAATGGTGGGACAAACACGCACACACACGCGGTGAGACAGAGTTCAATCGTGCAGACGTGCAGACGCACGGACGCGCACAGACGCGCAGACACGTCGGGAGACATGCGTACAGACAGACATATACAAACACACACACATACGTGGTGAGACAGAGACACGGAGACAATGACATACCATACACTAGTATATATCACACCACTATACACTACTATACCACGCCTGTCAACCCCCTTATCAGTGTCTTACCTTATTACAGACTATTTCAGAGCGTATTGGTCACCCCGTGCCGTTTATACATCTCAACACACCCAACACACACACCACACACACACACACCACACACACACTACACACACCACACACACACACACCACACACACACACCACACACACACCACACACACACACCACACACACCACACACACCTACACCACCTACACACACCACACACACACACTACACACACTACACACACACACCACACACACCATACACCACACACCCCCCCCCCACACATACACAACACACACCCCCCCCCCCACACACACTACACACACACCATACACCCCCCCCCCACACACACAACACACACCCCCCCCCACACACACTACACACACACACACCACACACACCCCCACACACACACCACACACACACACTACACACACACTACACACACACACCCCACACACACCATACACCCCCCCCACACACACAACACACACCCCCCCCCACACACACTACACACACACACACCACACACACCCCCACACACACACCACACACACACACACTACACACACACACCACACACACACTACACACACCACACCCCCCCCCCCACACTACACACACAACACACACCCAACACACACACACCCCCCCTCCTCCTCACCTGATAGTACGGTAAGGGGTCCACTACGTCCTTGCACTTGAGGAAAGTGGGTGGACCAATCAGCTCGCAGTTCTTCGACAGATCCTCTGCGGGGTGGGGGGGAGACACGTGGGGCGGCGGGGGGGGGGGCAACGGGTCAGGAGGCGGGGCTACGGTGACGTCACTGAGCGAGGGGCGGATCTACGGATCTCGCCAGGCCCAAGGTCACGTGGGCTCGGTTAGGGCCTTTGGTGATGACTGGTGTATAGGGTGGTGTTTAGGGTAGTGTATTGGGTAGTGTATTGTGTAATGTATTGTGTAGTGTATAGGGTAGTGTATAGGGTAGTGTATAGGGTGGTGTATTGTGTAGTGTGTAGGGTAGTGTATAGTGTGGTGTATAGTGTAGTGTGTAGGGTGGTGTATAGTGTAGTGTATAGGGTGGTGTATTGTGTAGTGTATAGGGTGGTGTATAGTGTAGTGTATAGTGTGGTGTATAGTGTAGTGTATAGTGTGGTGTATAGTGTAGTGTATAGAGTGGTGTATAGTGTAGTGTATAGTGTAGTGTATAGGGTGGTGTATAGTGTAGTGTATAGTGTAGTGTATAGTGTAGTGTATAGGGTGGTGTATAGTGTAGTGTATAGTGTAGTGTATAGGGTGGTGCATAGTGTAGTGTATAGGGTGGTGTATAGGGTAGTGTATAGGGTGGTGTATAGTGTAGTGTATAGGATAGTGTATAGGGTGGTGTATTGTGTAGTGTATAGTGTAATGTATTGTGTAGTGTATAGTGTAGTGTATTGTGTAGTGTATAGTGTAGTGTATAGGGTGGTGTATTGTGTAGTGTATAGGGTGGTGTATAGTGTAGTGTATAGGGTGGCGTATAGTGTAGTGTATAGGGTGGTGTATTGTGTAGTGTATAGGGTGGTGTATTGTGTAGTGTATAGGGTGGTGTATAGTGTAGTGTATAGTGTAGTGTATTGTGTAGTGTATAGTGTAGTGTATAGGGTGGCGTATAGTGTAGTGTATAGGGTGGCGTATAGTGTAGTGTATAGGGTAGTGTATAGGGTGGTGTATAGTGTAGTGTATAGGGTGGTGTATAGTGTAGTGTATAGGGTAGTGTATAGGGTGGCGTATAGTGTAGTGTATAGGGTAGTGTATAGTGTAGTGTATAGGGTGGTGTATAGTGTAGTGTATAGTGTAGTGTATAGGGTGGTGCATAGTGTAGTGTATAGGGTGGTGTATAGGGTAGTGTATAGGATAGTGTATAGGGTGGTGTATTGTGTAGTGTATAGTGTAGTGTATTGTGTAGTGTATAGTGTAGTGTATTGTGTAGTGTATAGTGTAGTGTATAGGGTGGTGTATAGTGTAGTGTGTAGTGTAGTGTATAGGGTGGCGTATAGTGTAGTGTATAGGGTGGTGTATAGTGTAGTGTGTAGTGTAGTGTATAGGGTGGTGTATTGTGTAGTGTATAGGGTGGTGTATAGGGTGGTGCATAGTGTAGTGTATAGGGTGGTGTATAGGGTAGTGTATAGGGTGGTGTATAGTGTAGTGTATAGGATAGTGTATAGGTTGGTGTATAGTGTAGTGTATAGTGTAGTGTATAGGGTAGTGTATAGGGTGGTGTATAGGGTAGTGTATAGAGTGGTGTATAGTGTAGTGTATAGTGTAGTGTATAGGTTGGTGGATAGTGTAGTGTATACGGTGGTGTATATTGTAGTGTATAGGGTGGTGTATAGTGTAGTGTATAGAGTGGTGTATAGTGTAGTGTATAGTGTAGTGTATAGTGTAGTGTATAGGGTGGTGCATAGTGTAGTGTATAGGGTGGTGTATAGTGTAGTGTATAGGATAGTGTATAGGGTGGTGTATTGTGTAGTGTATAGTGTAGTGTATTGTGTAGTGTATAGTGTAGTGTATTGTGTAGTGTATAGTGTAGTGTATAGGGTGGTGTATAGTGTAGTGTATAGGGTGGTGTATAGTGTAGTGTATAGGGTGGTGTATAGTGTAGTGTATAGTGTAGTGTATAGGGTGGTGTATTGTGTAGTGTATAGGGTGGTGTATAGTGTAGTGTATAGGGTGGTGTATAGAGTGGTGTATAGTGTAGGGTACGGGTACCCGTTTGCGACCCTGGTGCGGCCGGGTACGGGTACGGGGAGTAAGGAATCAAAACCCGTTTGCGACCTCTGCTATACAGCCAGATGATATGACAAATCGCTAACCTTAAACACCCAGTCGTTCATAACAGTTGAAGGCCAGTATAGGACTATAGTAATAGAGCAAGTGCAGAATCACTGAAGCGGAATTGATAGATTTCGATTTAAAGCTTTCGTGACCGCAGGGATGCATCTTCTTGGTTCTTTCGGTAAAGTCACGTAGAAGGGAAATAATAAAATAATAAAAATAAAACATAATAAAATATGTTTTCGGTAAAGTCACGTAAAACGGAAATAATAAAATAATAAAAATTAAACACAATAAAATATTTTTATTTTAAAGACATCATAAAAGATGTTTTATTTTTATTATTTTATTATTTCCCTTCTACGTGACTTTACCGAAATAACCAAGAAGATGCATCCCTGCGGTCACGAAAGCTTTACATCGAAATTTGAGCTGCTATCGTTCGTGACGGCGGCCACCCTCGCGGCAAACGGAGCCGGCTGAGCTACGAGCACCGATGCGGCGGTGGCGGTGACGGTGGCGGTGACGGTGACGGTGGCGGTGGCGGTGACGGTCGCGGCGCTGAGCGGTCACCGTAGCGGCAGACGGAGCCGGCGTCGGCGGCGATGACGGCCTCCAGCGGCTTGCTGCTCCACGCTGCCACGAACTGTGGCGCCACGCTCTCCACGATGCCCTGTGGCTGTGCGCAGGTCGTCCGCCTTCTCCGCGTTGTAGCTGCCGCACAGCCCTGCGGGTGGCACGGGGGGGGGGGGGGGGGGGGTCACGTGCAGAGATCACGGTCAGAGGTCGCGGCTGGAGGCTACGGTCGGAGGTCACAATCAGAGGTCACGATCAGAGGTCACGTTTGCAGGTTACGATAAGAGGTCACGGTCAGAGGTCACGGCTGGAGGCTACGGTCGGAGGTCACGATCAGAAGTCACGTTTGCAGGTTACGATCAGAGGTCACAATCAGAGGTCACGATCAGAGGTCACGGCTGGAGGCTACGGTCGGAGGTCACGATCAGAGGTCACGATTGGAGGTCACGATCAGAGGTCAAAGTCGGAGGTTAAGGTCAGAGGTCACGATCAGAGGTCACGTTTACAGGTTACGATCAGAGGTCACGGTCAGAGGTCACGGCTGGAGGCTACGGTCGGAGGTCACGATCAGAGGTCACGGATGGAGGTCACGATCAGAGGTCATAGTCGGAGGTTAAGGTCGGAGGTCACGATCAGAGGTCATAGTCGGGGGTTAAGGTCGGAGGTCACGGTCAGAGGTCACGATCGCAGGTCACGATCGGAGGTCATGATCAGAGGTCACGATCGGAGGTCATAATCAGAGGTCACGATCAGAAGTCACGTTTGCAGGTTACGATCAGAGGTCACGATCAGAGGTCACGGCTGGAGGTAACGATCAGAGATCATAGTCGGAGGTTAAGGTCGGAGGTCACGGTCAGAGGTCAGCGCGGTGGGTGGTGGTGGTGGTGGTGGTGGTGGGGGGGGGGGAATCGCTCACCTTGAGTCTGCCCCTGCATGGACGTGGGCACGGTGAGGTAGAGCTGCATGAGAGGTGCCAGCTGCACCTGCATCTTGAGGCCGACGATGGTGAACACCTGAATGTAGGTGGTCGTCTGCGCATAGATCTTCAGTGCATCTGTGGGGGTGGGGTGGGTGGGTGGGGTGCGGTGGGTGGGGTGGGATGAGTGGGTGGGTGGGGTGGGGTGGGTGGGTGGGTGGGGTGGGGTGGGTGGGGTGGGTGGGGTGGGTGGGGTGGGGTTGGGTGGGTGGGTGAGGTGGGGTGGGTGGGGTGGGTGGGGTGGGGTGGGATGAGTGGGTGGGGTGGGTGGGGTGGGGTGGGGGGGTGGTGAGGTGGTTGATGTGGGTGGGTGGGGTGGGGTGGGTGGGGTGGGTGGGGTGGGTGGGGTGGGGTGGGATGAGTGGGTGGGGTGGGGTGGGTGGGTGGGTGGGGTGGGGTGGGATGAGTGGGTGGGTGGGGTGGGATGAGTGGGTGGGTGGGGTGGGTGGGGTGGGTGGGGTGGGGTGGGTGGGGTGGGGGGGAGCGCGTAAGACGGACGCCGGGGAAAGTTCCGGAGTTGTTTCCCTGAGCTCTTCACGGCTGCCCTTATCAGGCCTGGTCTTCTTGGTTCTTTCAGGTGAAGTCACGTAGAAGGGAAATAATAATAAAATAATAAAAATAAAACGTAATAACATAATTCTCACTATTGAATTATTTTATTATGTTTTATTTTTATTATTATAAAAATATAAATAAAATAAAATAATTCTCACTATTGAATTATTTAATTATGTTTTATTTTTATTATTATAAAAAAGAAAAAGAAAACATACTTAAATAATTCTCACTATTGAATTATTTTATCATGTTTTATTTTTATTATTGTATTAGTTTATTATTTTATTACTTCCCTTCTACGTGACTTTACCGAAAGAACCAAGAAGATGAATCCCTGCAGTCACGAAAGCTTTAAATCGAAACATAAAAATGTTTTATTTTTATTATTTTATTACTTCCCTTCTACGTGACTTTACCGAAAGAACCAAGAAGATGAATCCCTGCAGTCACGAAAGCTTTAAATCGAAATTTACCTCGCCTGGTATACAGGAGATCATGGCCTCGATCCCGACCCTGACGTTGCATGCTGTGTAAAAAAGTCTTCGTGTTTTCTCATTTTTTAAAATCCTTTATATTAAGTTCACTTGCTTGCTTGCTTGCGCGCTTACGACCGTGCAAATCTTTCGGTCGTTTTTTAACCCACTTCCCGTGATCCAATCGAGCTGACATTTTGCACACAGACTCGTTGTGCGTGACAATTTATATTCGTGATTTTTTTTCTCTCATAACTTTACACTTTTTAGGGAAAACAAAATTTATTTAATTACCAATTGCTTAATGGTGGCAGGCAATCATCTGACCCATAGGTGGCAGCCATCTCGAGCCAGAGGACGAGAGGACTCTAGCCGCCACGCATATAAAGGATTTATAGTGAAAAACTTTGTTTTTACGGGTTCATTTTTTTCTCTCTCTCTCTCTTCCCGTGGTGGTTGTGCGGATTTTCCCCTCCACATTTAGAAAAATGCGTTTAGAGTATTAGGCTGCTCTTATACATTTACATTGAGCTACGCGGCTCGTATTCAGAAGCGACCACGCTATCACAATTCGTAGCTCAACGAAGTGGCTTATCGCATACCTGTCAACCCATACGGTTTGTCCGTATTTTTTTGGACAGTTTTACGTCCACACGGAGTACAGCCGTGTCAATGCGGGCAATTGTTTTTTGCCTATCCGTTTGTGTTTCTCCCTTGTGATAATCGGACTTTGTAGGATGGACGTTGATATTTATAAAGTATAACCCGTAAAAACAAAGTTTTTCACTATAAATCCTTTATATGCGTGGCAGCGAACTTAATATGAAGGATTTAAAAATATATTCGCCTGTGGAGGACGCGGGGATCGATCCCGCGACCTTTGGCATGGGAAGCGAGGGCGCTACCAACTGCGCTACTCCGCCACGGCCTGTGGAGGGTTTACGCTCTGGGCTCTTACACTGTGACGTTCAGCCAAAGCCATGAATGAGTTCTATTTGAATATATGTAAAATCATTTTTTTTTGCCTAAAAAGTGTAAAATTTTGGGAATTTTTTTTCACGAACATTAATTGTCTGGCACAACGAGTCTGTGTGGAAAATGTCAGCTCGATTGGATCACGGGAAGTGGCCTGAATTGGTCTGTAATAAGGTAGGCAGCACTGATAAGGGGTTAACAGGTATGGCTTCATGTCCGATGGGATATATACAAATATGTTGTGAAATTTCTATTTAAAGCTTTCGTGACTACAGGGATTCATCTTCTTGGTTCTTTCGGTAAAGTCATGACGTAGAAGGGAAGTAATAAATAATAAAAATAAAACATAATAAAATGAATTCATTCGGACGCTGTCTCCCCGACAGACCTGGTCTTCAACCTGAGGATGGCTGCTTGCGTTGTGGCCGAAACGTCGTGAGAATTATTTGATTATGTTTTATTTTTATTATTTCATGTTGTGAAATTTAAGGATGAAACATTGATACAATACGCATCATTTGAAGGTAGCAATATACTTTCCCCTATTATCTACAATCCTCTTTCGGGACCCTCTAATATTTATATTAAATCTTCAACGCGTGTCAGCAGCGAACATTGCCATCGCTCGGGACGCGTGCCAATGCAGCAGCGGCGACCAGTCCCACCACCTCCGCCCCATTCGCCCGAGGCTACACAACAACATCGACATCTCTGCGGCCGCCCGCCCAGCCCGCGCAACCAACGCGCTTGCAAGATCGGGCAGGTCACAGAGCCGGGAGAGAAGACAACTCCCCCGGCCACAAAGGGAGGGGAGAGGGGGGGGAAGGACATCTGAATTATTGCCGGGCACCGAAGGGTAACAAATCAAAAAAGTTGTCGCTCGACGATGCCCGGCGGTGTTTAGCGAGTCGCGGAATCATCGTCGTGGTCGTTGCGACTCATCGGGGAAGAGCGGCGGGGTGGGGGGTGGGGGGGGGGGGATGGTGGGGGGGAGGGGCTGCCCCCCCCCAACCCCCAGGGGGGGTGGGTGAGTGGGGGGGCAGCTGTCCCTGCGTGGCACGGCCTGCGTGCGTGCGCTAGTCTGCGGGCAGCAGTGAGTGAGTGGGGTGATGATTGGTGCTACTGTCTTAGTTAGTTAAGCTAGTTAAGCGTGGTCTATCCTAGGGGTGCCCCCAGCAGCAGCTGTCCCTGCGTGGCACGGCCTGCGTGCGTGTGCTAGTCTGCGGGCAGCAGTGAGTGAGTGGGGTGATGATTGCTGCTACTGTCTTAGTTAGTTAAGCTAGTTAAGTGTGGTCTATCCTAGGGGTGCCCCCAGCAGCAGCTGTCCCTGCGTGGCACGGCCTGCGTGCGTTCGCTAGTCTGCGGGCAGCAGTGGGTGAGTGGGGTGATGATTGCTGCTACTGTCTTAGTTAGTTAAGCTGGTTAAGTGTGGTCTATCCTAGGGGTGCCCCCAGCAGCAGCTGTCCCTGCGTGGCACGGCCTGCATGCCTTCGCTAGTTTGCGGGCAGCAGTGGGTGAGTGGGGTGATGATTGCTGCTACTGTCTTAGTTAGTTAAGCTATGATAATTGGTTCTTTACCCTTCTATCTGGCAACAAAACTGACACCTTTTTACAAGGAGTCATGTTTGCATAGACCGCAATACCTGCAGTCATAAATACAAACAAAAGACATAACTCTGATAATGTGCACTGTCCTTGAAGTTGTAAAAAGGTGTCAGTTTTGTTGCCAGATAGAAGGGTAAAGAACCAATTATCATATTTTTACTGGCAAATGAGGTCCCCATAGTGTTAGTTAAGCTAGTTAAGCGTGGTCTATCCTAGGGGTGCCCCCAGCAGCAGCTGTCCTTGCGTGGCACGGCCTGCGTGCGTCCGCTAGTCTGCGGGCAGCAGTGGGTGGACGGGGTGATAATTGCTGCTGCTGCTGCTGTGTTCGTTAGTTAGTTAAGCTAGTTAAGTGTGGTCGAGCCTAGGGACACCCCCAGTGGGACCTGTCTGTCATGAAAGCTCCAAATGAAGTATCAGTTAATTCCATCGTGATCCAGCCTAGGGGCACCCCCGCTGGCAGCCGTCCCCTTTCGCGCCGCGAGCGACCGAATGGTCGGGCGAGCCGGTCGCCAGCATCTCACCTGAGGTGTGGGGCAGCGCGAGTGCCGTGTCGTCCAGGTACACTCGCCCGTCGGAACGGATCTCCAGCAGGCCCTGCCGGAGGGAGTAACGAGACGCGTTACGTTTTGATTTTGTTTTCTCTCATCATCACGGTGGCTAAGGGAGATGTTGACTACCTCGCCTGGTCTACAGGAGGTCGTGGGTTCGATCCAGAACCCTGACGATGCCTGCTGCTGTATAGTTGGAGTCTGTGTCTCTCTCTCTCTCATCATCAGGGTGGCTAAGGGAGATGTTGACTACCTCGCCTGGTCTACAGGAGGTAGTGGGTTCGATCCCGACACTGATGCCTGCTGCTGTATATTTTGAGTCTGCGTCTCTCTCTCATCATTATCACGGTGGCTAGGAGATGTTGACTACCTCGCCTGGTGTACAGGAGGTCGTGGGTTCGATCCCGAACCCTGGTGATGCCTGCTGCTGCTGTATATTTGGAGTCTGCGTCTCTCATCATCATCATCACGGTGGCTAGGAGATGTTGACTACCTCGCCTGGTCTACAGGAGGTCGTGGGTTTGATCCCGAACCCTGACGACGCCTGCTGCTGCTGTATATTTGGAGTCTGCATCTCTCTCATCATCATTACGGTGGCTAGGAGATGTTGACTACCTCGCCTGGTCTACAGGAGGTCGTGGGTTTCATCCCGACACTGATGCCTGCTGCTGTATATTTGGAGTTTGCACCTCTCTCTCTCATCATCATCAGGGTGGCTAGGAGATATGAACTCTCTCGCCTGGTGTGCAGTGTGGAGCTCAAACTCTGCACATTGTGCAAGAGTTTAACACGTAACTAGTAGTAGTGTTAGTAGCCGCCGCGGTAGGGCTTTCGCGAGCAATATCCGTAACAGCGTTTTTTACGCGATCTGACCTACCCAAAAAACCCACCGACAACAACAACAAACGCCTCTTTAGTGCGGGCAGGTCAAGAGGTCGCGGGCAGCGCGACAACAGAGACACGTAGAGGCGGCGAGCGAAACGAGACGGGGCTGGCGCCGCTTACCGAATTCATCTTGAGGTAGACGGCCTCCAGACGCGGTGAATCCGGCGACTTGTCCGCGATGTCGATCTGCACCGACCAGCCGTTCGTCTGTGCAGGAACAGGCGGAGAAGGTGTGGAAGGGGTGAGATGGTGGGAGTTAGTGGGGTCGGAGGTGGAGGAGAGGGACAGGGTTGCAACGCTCGTCTGCGTTAGACTCAGAGGTCGCAAACGGGTTTTGATTCCTTACCCGTACCCGTACCCGGCCGCATCAGGGTCGCAAATGGGTACCCGTACCCGGCCGGGTACGGGTACCCGTTCCCTACCCGTACCCTACCCGAAATGCGTGACAAACGGTGACTCATCAGTGACTCACGGTCTACCTGTACCCGTACCCGGCCGCACCAGGGTCGCAAATGGGTACCTGTACCCGTACCCGGCCGGGTAGCCGGGTATCGGGTAGGGTACGAGTATCGGGTACCCGGTTGCGACCTCTGGTTAGACTCGACTCGAGACCAAAGCTGCCGAAACGGGTCAGAAACTCGTTCTAGATTTTAAGCTTTCGTGACTGCGAGGAATGCATACTCTTAGTTCTTTTGGTAAAGTCACGTAGGTAAAAAAAATGAATCGACTGAACGAACGGACGAACGAAATCACGACGTTTCGGAGGCAACACAAGTCTCCCCGTCATCAGGTGGGACCGTCACAGCCAGATTTGCTGATGCAACAAGACTCCGTCATCAGGTGGGACCGTCACAGCCAGATTTGCTGATGCAGCAGATTTGCTGATGCAGCAAATCTGGCTGTGACGGTCCCACCTGATGACGGAGACTTGTGTTGCCTCCGAAACGTCGTGATTTTTATTTTATTTTTTATTACATTTTATTTCATTTTTTACCTACGTGACTTTACCGAAAGAACTAAGAGTACAGTCGCTTATCCGTCGGTCTGTCGAGTCGGTCGCTTGCGCTCTGCTCTGCTCTGCCCGCTCGTTCTTCTGTCGGTTCGTTTGGTTCATTCCGTTCTACCCCCCGCCCCCCCCCCCGTGCGCAAAGTGGAATCATTACTTTAGACCGGAGGAGGAAATAAGATGAGCTATGAAGCTCTTTTTTTCCACAGGTGTCCAGTCCCTATGGGTCTCTACGCGTCTCTGTGTGTCTCTGTGTGTCTCTGTGTGTCTCTGTGCGTCTCTGTGTGTCTCTGTGTGTTTCTGTGGGTCTCTGTGTGCTGCTGTGTATCTCTGTGGGTCTCTGTGTATCTGCATGGGTCGCTGTGTGTCTCTACGTGTCTCTGTGTGTCTCTATGGGTCTCTGTGTGTCTCTATGGGTCTCTGTGTGACTTTGTGGGTCTCCGTGTGTCTGCATGTATCCCTATGGGTCTCTACGTGTATATGTGTGTCTCTGTGGGTCTCTGTGTGCCGCTGTGTATCTCTGTGGGTCTCTGTGTATCTGCATGGGTCGCTGTGTGTCTCTACGTGTCTCTGTGTGTCTCTATGGGTCTCTGTGTGTCTCTGTGGGTCTCTGTGTGCCTCTGTGTATCTGCATGGGTCTCTGTGTGTCTCTATGGGTCTCTACGTGTCTATGTGTGCCTCTGTGTGTCTCTGTGGGTCTCTGTGTGCCTCTGTGTGTCTCTGTGGGCCTCTGTGTGTCTCTGTGGCTCTCCGTGTGACTTTGTGGGTCTCTGTGCATCTGCATGTATCCCTATGTGTCTCTACGTGTCTCTGGGTATCTTCACGTGTCCCTATGGGTCTCTATGTGTCTCTGTGTATCTCTGTGGGTCTCTGTGTATCTCTGTGGGTCTCCTGTGTGTCTCTGTGTGTCTCTGTGTATCTCTGTGGGTCTCTGTGTGTCTCTACGGGTTCTCCGAGTGCCCCTGAGGATGCGGTCCGCACCGACAAGAGGAGGAAGCTGCCCGCCCCAAAGAAGCCGTAGGTGTTGAAGTCGAACGTGGTCACGTGGGTGCTGCCCTCCAGCGAGCACATGGCGTCGGCGGCCGTCGAGGTGCAGCTCCAGACGCCGCTCGCGCAGTGGCTGCTCGCGGATAAAGCGGACAAGCGGCAGCGTCATCAGCATCATCATCATCAGGGTCATCATCAGCATCATCATCAGCAGCAGAGTCAGAGTCACCAGAAGCAGCAGCAGCATCAGCATCAGCTGTAGCGGCAGCAGCATCATCATCATCAGGGTCGTCATCAGCAAAGTCATCAGTATCATCATCATCAGGGTCATCATCAGCATCATCATCATCATCAGGGTCATCATCAGCATCATCATCAGCAGCAGAGTCACCAGAAGCAGCAGCATCAGCTGTAGCGGCAGCAGCATCATCATCATCAGGGTCATCATCAGCATCATCATAATCAGGGTCGTCATCAGCAGAGTCATCAACATCATCATCAACAGGGTCATCATCAGCATCATCATCAGCAGCAGAGTCACCAGAAGCAGTAGCAGCACCAGCTGTAGCGTCATCAGTATCATCATCATCATCAGGATCATCATCGGGAAGAGTCATCAACATCATCATCATCAGGGTCATCATCAGCATCATCATCATCAGGGTCGTCATCAGCAGAGCCATCAAGTCATACTTTGTAGCGATCATCCGGAGCGAAACATTTTATTTTAGGCCACTGAATAGCGCTGGCAGCTAGGGGTGTACAACTCCTCTCGAGCAGTTCTGAGTGAAGACCTCATAGGTAGTGACTCAAGTTTCAATTTATTGGCAACAGCATTCCAGACCCTGGGGGCATCAAACAGCAAAGTCCCTTCCTCCAGTATATGTACGGCAATAGGGAATGTGAAGCTGGTAAATGAGTGTAGACCTTAGGTCAAATTTGTTCTTTGAAACAGAGAGGAGTGGAGTGAGATGAGAAGGGAGAGATAGGAGAGTGCGTGGGGGGCCTGCGGGGTAGAGTGGGGGGCTGGGGGGAGGAGTACAGCGTGGGCCCCCTTTCTCACCAGATGCTGGAGGCCTCTTCAAGGACGGTGCCCGAGTTGTAGAGGAGGCCGTTGCGTTTGCACTTGCACGAGGTAGGAGGCACGCAGCTCAAGGTCTCGTAGTCGTCCAGCACAGTGCCTGCGGGTGGGTGGGGTGGGTGGGCGAGTAGGTGGACAGGTGAGTGAGTGGTTGGTTGGTTAGGTGGGTGGGTGGGTGAGTGGGTCGGTGGGTGAGTGGGTGGCTGAGTGAGTGGGCGAGTAGGTTTGTGGCTGGGTGATTGGGGTGGGTGGGCGAGTAGGTGGACAGGTGAGTGAGTGGTTGGTTGGTTAGGTGGGTGGGTGGGTGAGTGGGTCGGTGGGTGAGTGGGTGGCTGAGTGAGTGGGCGAGTAGGTTAGTGGCTGGGTGATTGGGGTGGGTGGGTGAGTAGGTGGACAGGTGAGTGAGTGGTTGGTTGGTTAGGTGGGTGGGTGGGTGGGTGGCTGGGTGACTGAGTGGGCGAGTAGGTTAGTGGCTGGGTGATTGGGGTGGGTGGGTGAGTAGGTGGGCAGGTGAGTGAGTGGTTGGTTGGATCGGTGGGTGGGTGAGTGGGTGGCTGGGTGACTGAGTGGGCGAGTAGGTTAGTGGCTGGGTGATTGAGGTGGGTGGGCGAGTAGGTGGGCAGGTGAGTGAGTGGTTGGTTAGGTGGATGGGTAAGTGGGTGGGTGGGTAAGTGGGTGGGCAGGTCTCGTCGAACTGCACCTCCCACTCACCCACCCACCCACCCACTCACCCACCCACCCACTCACCCACCCACTCACCCACTCACCCACCCACTCACTCACCCACCGACCCACCCACTCACTCATTTACCCACCGACCCACCCACTCACCCACCCACCCACTCACCCACCCACCCACTCACCCACCCACCCACTCACTCACCCACTCACCCACCGACCCACCTACCCACTCACCCACCCACTCACCCACCGACCCACCCACCCACCCACTCACCCACCCACTCACCCACCGACCCACCCAATCACCCACCCACCCACCCACTCACCCACTCACCCACCGACCCACCCACTCACCCACCCACCCACCCACTCACCCACCGACCCACTCACCCACCGACCCACCCACCCACCCACTCACCCACCCACCCACCCACCCACTCACCCACCCACCCACTCACCCACTCACCCACCGACCCACCCACTCACCCACCCACCCACCCACTCACCCACCCACCCACCGACCCACCCACCCACTCACCCACCCACTCACTCACCGACCCACCCACCCACTCACTCACTCACTCACCCACTCACCCACCGACCCACCCACCCACTCACTCACTCACTCACCCACTCACCCACTCACCCACCCACTCACCCACCCACCCACTCACTCACCGACCCATCCACCCACCCACTCACCCACCCACCCACCCAATCACCCACCCACCCATCCACTCACCCACCGACCCGCTCAATCACTCACCCACCCACCCACTCACCCACCAACCCACCCACCCACCCACCCACCCACCCACTCACCCACCCACCCACCCACTCACCCACCACCCACCCACCCACCCACTCACCCACCCACCCACCTACTCACCCACTTACCCACCCACCCACCCACTACACCCCACCCCACCCACCTTCAGGGCAGAAGCATCCGGGCAGACAGCTCTCATCGCATTGCACCTCCCCCACGGGGTTGGAGCACGTCTTGGTGCAGGGGCTACCGCAGTCGCTGAACACGAAGCTCTTAGAGCAGCTCGGCTCCTCTGTGACGCGGACGGGGAGGGTGGGGAGGGGGGGGGTGTAAGGGGGGAGGGACACGGAGGGGTCGGTCGATTGATCAGAATGTATCAGAAATTGCATAACAAAGGCATACACTAGACTACACACTACACTATACACTACACTATACACTAGACTATACACTAGACTATACACTAGACTATACACTACTCTATACACTACACTATATACTACTACACACTACACTATACACTAGACTACACACTACACTATACACTACACTATACACTAGACTATACACTAGACTACACACTACACTATACACTACTCTATACACTACACTATATACTACTACACACTACACTATACACTAGACTACACACTACACTATACACTACACTATACACTA